CCTGGAGTACAATGTTGCGTGGCTTGATATAACGCCCTTCCTGCCCATCTGCCTAGTACAATAGAGCGGGTCCAAATGCGAGCTTTAAGGATAATGTACCTTCGGAAGCTTTACAATTTCCTAGAGTCGTTAGAGTTGAGGACAGGCGCAGTGGGCTCTGTATGAGCATTATAAACAAAGGCAGGACCTTGTCAGAACACATAGCCTGCGTAGCAGGCGCTTGGAAGTAGTGGGTGCAAGAAAGAACGGGCGCGCGAGAGAGAGACACGCGGAGACACCCGTTCTTTCTTGCGTTCACTACTTTCAAGGGCCTGCTACGTAGGCTAAGAACACTATAGAAATGGCGTCTCTGGGGGAGCATGCCGCCTTACCCCGCCCGTAGCGGCTCGCTCCTTGTCCTTGGACGCTGATACTATATTCTGGGATAAATAAAATAGGTTGGACGGTCTGTCTCAGTCCTGAAATACCTTATTTAGGTATATAGTATTCTTTTTCAAGGTAATTTCAGGCATTCGGTATCAAACGTTTTACAAATCTGTAGCTATATTGGTATCTTATGAGGACAAAAGCGGGTATATTGGTATCCCACCGTCCCCCACCCTCACCCCTCCTATGCGGGCCGGGCCTGAAAATATGGAAGGGCGGAGTCCATGCCGTGAAAATAATGGTTCACTACCAATACAAATTCCATGGTGTGATATGCATTTTGTGCAACTTAAGGAGGAAAAACTCATTCAATTAGGGCTTTTTTTCGAGAGAGAGAAGCAGAAATTTCGTTATCACAAAGATTTTGGCCGCCGACGGGTTACGTAGCCACGTGACCATAACATTACGTGACACTATCACGCTCAACCTCGTCCCCAGGGTCTTCTCACTTTCCAATATGGCGGCGGCAGGAGAGAAGACCCTGGCACACAGCGAACTAAAACGATCGCTGATTGGTGCATTCCATAGCGCGTTCATACGTGCGCTCTCATTGGTTTATTCCTTCCAAAACAAAGATGGTTAACCTTTGAGGGCTTCGTAGAGGCTGAGAAGTGCTTTCTTCAGTGTTTGAGACCTAAAAGGTGGACAGAATTCAGGTCTGATTGTTCGGAAAACTGTGACTGTACCGTTGGAAGGCAAAGATTCGAATATAGTGATATCTGGTAATCGCTGGGAATATTATAACGCGTAGAGGTATTTCTGGTTTGTGTGTTCCGAAAATTACTAAAGATTTGTTTCTTTAATTCCCGACTTGTGAAAGAATACTTGCAAGGCTTCAGCTTATCAATAAGTTTAGCTGCCCGTTGCAAAGGTGTAGTATTGTTCTGCCTTTTGTTTTCTTTGAACAAAAGCTGTATGCATAATATTATTAATGTATGGGGTTATACGGAAATCTTGCATAATCTGCGCTTTGTCTCAGCAGTTTTTTGTCAAGTGAAACATTCTTTTCATTTGATCGTAACATTCATGGGCCTAACCTGGCCTTCTTTTAATTTTTCCACAGTGATTTTGAAGGGGGACGAGGAGCGAGAGAGGCAGATGTCGAAACAAAACTAAAAATTGAAGCCAAACATAGTGTCGCTATCATTTGATATTTTTAATCCTGACTTTTCATTTATTCAGTTTTTAGTGTCACAATAATGATGATTTATTATTATTTGCTCATTTCATTGGCAGTAAAATACAGCTAAATACAGAAACATTGGGAAAATAAACTGTTTCCTTTCTCAGAAATGAAAAACTTACCTATTGATGTATTGAAGCTTGTGGGATTTCTTTCTAGTTGCAAAAATAAAATAAATGAAAGCACATGATGTCTTTTATTTTATCAAGTTGAAAACAGTGATCAGCACATTCAAGGAAATCTGACAGTCTTGGATTCTCAATTTTGCGCCATGGATACTGCATTCTGGATTCTCTGTCAGTGGAACATGGATTCCGGATTCCAGTTATAAGTGGGATCCAGAGTACTTTAGGCCGACCTTTATTCCAGATTCCAAGAGAAAAATTTCCCAGATTCCAGACATGGGGTGACAGTGACCCCAAGATAAATACGTTTTCTGTCAAACTAAAACCTGTCAATTGAGCTTCTAATTACTGTAGGCTAAGTGTGCATGTTGTTCTTGTCACTATATCCTTGAAAAGGGGGTTTGTGGACCAGGTGAAAAAGTGGCTGGTACTGTAGTATTCCAACACCAGCTGGGTATGATTGTGAAGCAGCTATAATTCAGTTCTAAAACTCGGATTTAAAAAAATAAACTACTTCAAAGGGTGCATATATCACTATCCACTGAATAAACAAGAGCGGAAGGGGCCTGGAGCATCTCGATCATGGGATTTTTCATGTCGGGATGCAAAGGCTTTTGAAGTGTGTTGTGCCAGAGTCCCCATTAGCATAGTGAGGTTTTAGTTGCCTAGTCATGGCCAATGAGTTTTAGATCACGTGGTCCCAAGCGAAATAGTGAAACAGTTTCCCTCCAGTTTGCCTAAGATAAGTCACCGAAATGAATTGACCAAGAATTAAGGCCTTGGAAAATGCCACACAGGGACAAGGCAAGACTTTTAGCTTGTTTAGGTGTTGCGGTGTGAGGTTGCAGCTGTTAGATGTGCTGGCTTAAATACTTTCCAAGTCTACTTTAAGGTGTTGGTTAGTCTTAGTAATAGTGTCTGTATTATAATCATATCGTCAGAAATAATCAGATTAACCCAACTATTAAACTGATAATCGATTATAGTGGATTACAGTTTGTGCCCCCTGTGTGCCACTTTCAACACTGAAAATAATTTTGTAAGAAGGCTTATCTGTCACATAGTTAAACCAACTAAACATCATATAAACTAAATTAAGACCCCATCAAAAAGACAACACAGGTGAATTAATATCCTTATTTGTCAACAATGTTTTTGTGAATTTTCCACAACAATCAACTGAACATTTGTATAAGCAATACTCACTTTGCTTTAGGTTTCTGATGCTTTATAAATTATGATCGATAATCAGCACACCAATACCAAGTCATGTCTCAATTAGAGTACGAAAGGGCCCATCTGACGAGCAAAGCATGTTTGACTTAAAACATCTATTATCTCCAAATGAGAGAGGAACTTTTACTGCGCACATGACTCAGATGGGACTATCAAATTTTTGAACAACTGGAGTCTAGCCTTTAGTCAATTTGCACATTGACATGGCAAAGTGCAGCCCCAAGTAATATGTCAAATAAACCAAAGTCAGGGATTAAGAAAGTTTTTGCTCTGAAAATCAAATCTATTTCAAAGTGGAGAATACATTTTGGATTGCTATATTAGAAACAATGGAAACACTCTTCACCTTTTGCTAGCTATTAAAGCGGGTTTAATGCTTTTTTTTACATCTGAGAGGCAAAAAAAAAACAATAATAACAACATCTTAAATCCTCTATTAAGGCCTCCTCTCTCAAATAAGCCCTCCTTTTCAGTGAAAGAAAGTTTTAACAATAAGCCCCCGTCTTTTTTAAACCCCCATCCCACCTTTCCCCCTTTTCTTATTCTTCACTAATAAATAAGAGACTGTATAAATCAATGAAAACTGTAAAGCTTTCTGTGGACCGATCCAGGATGATTTATTCACCAACTGGAAGTTCGGATTTGTTTTTGCTCCTCGGCTGCTTGACCTCCAACCTTCTTGTACTTGGGCTTTTTCACTTGGGGGGAACTAATACCACCGTCTTTGCTAGATTAAATAAGGCCCCCTATCTCTATTGCCCGGAAGCACTGTGAACGGGGTTAAATATCAAAAGCCAATAACAAAGTCTAAAAACTGTGAAGTAGATGAAGATTGACAATAATTTTATTACCTGTACCAGTTCAAGTGACAAAATATCCAAACTGACCAAGGAACTGTTTAATTTTCAACCAAAGTTTCCTCAAATTATATTAACAAAATAGTGTTCTCTGGTTCTTGTTTTCAGAAAAAAAAATTGTTTTTTTACATATCAGAGTTCAGTTAAAATTTGTGCAGATAGAAAAACAACAGTCAAAAACCTCATGAAGATCTGTAACAAAACTGACGATAACTTATCAGCTTAAAGTGTCTGCGACTCAATTTAATGCTTAGTTGAATTTCGGAGCGGAAGAGGTCTTAGAGCGTCATGACAGAAAATTCCCTGGCTTCAGAGGTCTGTTCTCGAAATTCCTAACATGAAGAAATAAATTGCGCTCACGGTTAGAAAAAGCTCCCCCTTTCACGAAAGAAGAAACCTGAACCTCTGGCGCTCAGGGTACGGCAAAAAAAGAAAACGGTGAAAAAAGGTCGGTACCGAGAAATTAAGTTGTAGACAGCCGTGTGCGCTAGAACTTTCAGGCTTCAAACAAATGAAGGTCATTGAACAGAAAATAAGATCGCTATATCATTCTACCGTATTCCTGTGGCTTGTAAGTGTATTCTTTCATATTTTTAGCTTCTTTTGAGTTCTGCCTTTGCCGCCATTTTGTTTGTTTTTCACCAGTCTCAAGACCTCGTACCCAGATCCTCTCACTCTTTATCTTGGCCGCCATTTTGAATAAATTTCCACTCTCCGTGGACAAATCAGTCACGTGATTTCTGCTGTGTGCCAGGGTCTTCTCTCCTGCCGCCGCCATATTGGAAAGTGAGAAGACCCTGGGGACGAGGTTGTATCACGCTATGATTTGATTTTGAAACGAAACTGCCTAACTTCAGCTGCCTGGATAGACTTCTTCCATCAAGAATCTAAAGTAAAGGTAAGCGTCTTATTTATCGAGAACGGGTAAAACGGTAAATGACTAATTGCTTTTGTTGTGCGTCAAACGTTTTTAAACAGCCTGATTATTACAATAATTCATGGACTTTTATATGCACCGCGGTGAAATTCACTCTGAAATTGCGGAAAGAACTTAAAATTCTACGTTGCCTTTCTTGTGCATGTTTTGTATCCCGGGGTAGTGATATTTAGTTTCATTACTTAGAGAGCTTGGATCAACTTCTGATCTAGAGAATTCTATTAAAAACATTGTTTACTGTTCAGTGCAGGTAGTTACAAGACGATGGCGCCCGCCAGTTGATCGTGGTAATCAGTAACATGCATGACCATCCCTGTTAGTATATCTCTTTCGATTCAAAAGTACTTAAAGAAGCTTAATTACTTTCTTTTAGAGGCCAGAGACGAATTCAAGTGTCAAAAGAGGCAATTTCATGGAACTTTTAACCTGTACAATCATGACATCTGACACGGCCTGTAATTATGCAAATACGCAAAATGGCAGATTATAATCTACTGTTGGTTGCAATCCCAGAAGATACCCGCAAGTCTGAGCCTATAAACCAAAAAAATAAGCTTAAAACTTTACTTTGATATGATTTTTAAACCAGATTTAGGCCGCAACTTTTGAGATATTTTGCCTCAAATCTTCCTTACTTTCAAGGTTTCGATCAAGCCTGCAAAATAGGTATTCTTTGAACCACTGTAACTTGAACACGTTTTGATCAAAGATATTTTTATTTAGCCTGTGAACTATCGAAGGTTAACTAAAAAAACTGAATCGAACAGATTTTTTGTGCGGGCATTCGGTTGTTTACAACGCGCTTTTCAAAATCCATCAATTTTAGTCTTCGAAACACTCTCTGAGAAGCCGAGACGGACTCAATTCGTTTTTGGCTTGTAGCAGAGCTAAGAATAAGAATTTGAAAACGAAAATAGCGATTTTAGTATACACCTACTAAAGCCTCTTCACCGACAAAAAATAAAGGAAAAGTATTTTTTGTCGCGAAATCGAGTGGACCGCTTTTAGGGAGACTGCCTCTTAAGGCGCTAGTGATACCTATCCTCGAGTACGCCTGCCCAGTCTGGAATCCTTATCTGGTGAAACACACCAAGGCAATCGAAGCAATTCAGAGAAGAGCGTCCCGACTAATATGTGGCCCCGACAAAGAATATCCTGAAAGACTTTTAGAGTTAAAATGGGACTCTTTAGAACTGAGACGGAAATATCTTAGCCTAGTTCAAACGTATAAGATTATATTTGGTTACTGTGATATCAATTGCCATCATTACTTTGATATTATTGGAATAACTCGAACTAGAAGTAAGCATGAGTATAAAATAAGGCCTAAAGTTGCCCGTACAAATTATTTTAAATATTCATTTTTTCATAGATATATTAATGATTGGAACTCTTTGCCTTCTGAAGTAATGTCATCTCCTAGCCTTCTGTCTTTTAAAGTTTCACTGATTAAGTACCTTCGCTCATAATTTACCTTAAAATATTAGGCATAGTGTCTTTAATATAAGTTTATGCATTATTATTAGGCATCTAGGTTTATAATTTATAGTCTAATTTATAGTCTTTTAATATATGTTTATATATTAATTAATTATTATTTTTTCTTTTTTTTCTTTTTTGCAATGTATGTCTTAGCATGGGAATTTGGTTTCCCCCTACTACCGTCCTGTTAACCATTTTTGTATTTTTGTTCGATTGTATATGTTAGTATTAGTTCATTTGTATCAGTTATGTATGGTTACGAACTGTGATTAAAGATTAAAGACTGTAAAAAAAAAAAAAAGAACCCGACACTTCAACTTTTTCAAGCATTTAAAGCTAATTTTATCTCTCTTTCTCTCGGTAACGTGATAAAACATGGCGCAAAACTGTCCTTTTGAAACTGCCAAAGGATTCTTCCCTCCAACCTTGTGATTGTCTTTATGATCATAAACAATGCTCATTTTATCGCACTCTTTTTTGATTTTGCTCTGCATAGAAGTCCAGTCATCACCTGGCGTATAAAGTCCTCCAAAATGCATTAACTCCATTGTATTCCAATCAATATGTGGTAATCAAAAAAGGACTTGTATTCAGAATATGGTTTGAGAAATCACTCACATTACAGCGACAGCTGGTTCGAAACTCCTGAAACGATGTGGGGCACAGAACAGAAAAAAACAGTACTGAACCCTTTCCTTTGACATTCGGTTAAATATACTGACATGATTATGTCATAACTCCCAGAAAAGCTTCTTTTCCGGGAAAACCGGCGGTGACCTATTTTCCAAAAATAATTTCAGTGACACACATGTGGCTTGTTAGGTTTTGTTTATTTAGCGTAACAGTAGTATGGGCTATAAAACAACATCATTCTCAATGAAAGATTTGTTATGACAGGACACAACAAATACCAAAAGCACTTCCAATGAACACCCGGAAACCGAATTAAGCTTTTTACTGACTTTCAGGTTCGCCAAGATTGAATGAAGCGGTGGAAAAATATAGAAATTGTATGAGTTTAAGAGAATTAACACTTCAGAGTTTGGCGTTATTTTCATTTCAACTTTTTCACTTTTTATGAAACACACGTGGAATACCTCAAATCACAAAAATTCCTCTCCTACTTGATTCTGCACGGCAATTATTACGGAAACTTTCGATCGCCCATCACTAGCATGGGAACACCGTTCTCTTGTTAGCAAACTGCTTCATTGAAGAACATGTGGATGATTCGGTTTTCATTGACTTGAATCTTGACTATACAAAGCTTATAAAAAAGGGACTTTGTCTAGCCCCAGCCTTTATGTATGTTTCTGATGTACTCTGATATCAAAGTTTCCTTTCCTAACTTTAAATCGTTTGCATACATAGCCCCATTGGGTACATATTTCTCACTAACTATAAAAAGAGGGAAATTATAGTTCAGTTCAGTGCCACTCGTATATCGAACTAAAAAATATTCTGACCGTTTGCAAACCTGTACAGCAGTGTGGCAGTCTGTATTCTCTTCATTTTAGAAAGGAGGTTGTCGATATGTTTGTCTAGCTTTTGTCGTGCGCTCTCTTGGTATTCTGGTAATTCAATGTCGGCAAATTCAGCAAGTTTCGTCCAACTTTCTTGTGACATAGCAATAACTTCAATACCAGAAGAAAGCAAGGTTTTCAGTCCCAGTTGAGCGTTTATAATGTCTTGTGCAAGAGAAATTTCATGTGGTACGTCCATGTCGACTTTGTACAACTGGCATAGATAGATCTGCAATTTTATACTGCCAGTCGAGCAATAAACATGAAAGAAGTTAATCAATTCCTTTGTACAGTCTTTCACCTTGAGTGCTGTTTTCCTACCATGGCTTGTTGACCTGCTGCAAGGTTGTTTGTTCATATACATGGTAATATTTCCTCCTATACGATCTCTTAGGAACTTGACAGCTTGTCTGAACTCTTCATCAACCAGCATAAAATACTCAGCATGGGCTGTGTTTGAATTCGGACCTTCGTAACAGTTTCCGTATCTTGCATGAAATATCAATCGCCCATTTTTATCCGTTACTCTCACATAAATGACAACTGTCTCAGCAAATTTTTTCTTATCTCCTCGCTTTCCAATCTTGCACTCCAATCTGTCAAGACACATGAATTCAGCATGGTTCGCCTCTGTGACATGATAGAACATGCCACAGAACTGAGCTTTAGTAATAACAAGTGGATTGAAGCCTCCAACCTTATGGTTATCCTTGTGATCTTGAATTGTGCTTACATTGTCACACATTAAACTTTTACCCGACTGCACAAAGTGCCAGTCCATAGGAGAACAGATTTGAGAGCAACCTACCAGGCTCATCTTATTCCAGTTCATATTAATGAGAACAATATCCGTACCACATGTTACAAACAGCTGCGATAGTGGTGCAGGGCCTACGACAACATTTTGGGGGATTCGAATGCTGAGACCCCAAAGTACTCTTGTAGATAATTCCATGTTCATACCATTTATATCCTGTACAATCAAATGACGGTAAGGGTCTTGGCCAATGATCATATGACTTACTTGTTTCGCGTCCCGCTCTAAATTGAAAATCTTGATGGCGTTATCGCCTATGTCTGAAACAACAAGATGGTTATTTGGCGCAAAACAAACATCGTAAGGAACAAAAAGACCCCTGTAAAGCCTTCTAGCCATCCATTGTTGCTCGGGGTTGTCCGTTTCTCCTCTCCCATATATCTCAATGCAATTTTCATGTTTTTTCAGCACAGCCACTTTTCCTTGATCAGACACTGCCATTCTTTTCTCCTGACACATGATGGCCGGTAACATCCTTGCTGCCATTATTATTCACAATTCCGCGACGGACACGTTTTCCTAAATATAATGCAACTCTCTCAAAGACAAAATAAACAAAAGCTAGCCTGAGATTTATGTAAATAGAAATCGAAAAAAACTGTTCGATGCAACTTTCTTTTCGTCAAAGTTATAAATAACATTCAGATATTAGATCTATAAAAACATATATAGGAACTTGCGGCTTTTCTCGGAAAAAAGGTTGGTTTCCAAGAATAGATGCATGACGTGACTGGTGTTAATCACCATATGGTGTTTTCGAGCGATGAAAATATTAAATCTATAACAGTTCGAAAATTTAGGCAAACCATTGCTCTGGAGAAGCTCATTCATTTAGGATCCTTACAAACTTTCTACGCAGTTCTCTTAAGTTCAATATCAGAAATGGGAGCAGGTACCAGGACTCCTCAGAGACTGCGACTCTCATTGTCACGTCATGATCTGGAGAGCATATTCTCAGTTTGTCGAATGATTCAGACTGTTTGCATTTGATTTATTGCACTTTTACTGATAAAATATGCAAAAATAGCTTGGAAAACATTCATGCTTAATTTTTGGGACTCATCTGTGTTTTGTTATGTAAAGAACCGTAGATGAATTGATAGTCAGGTATATTTCGGTTGACCGTGAAGTATATCGTTGGCAATCTTATAGTCAGCTAAATATCCTGACACGTAAATAAAGTTTATCATCATCATCATCATCATCAACATCATCATTGTTATTATTATTATTATTATTATTATTATTATTATTATTATTATTATTATTATTATCTGATTAAAGAATGCCTATTCCTCCGTCACCATCTTTTTGGATGGGCTGTTCAACAGCCACCATGTCAGCCACATTGTTGCTTCCCAGCCTGGTAGCTTCCCAGCCTGGTAGCTTCCCAGCTTTCGAGGCACCGTAATATTCAAACTGACTGAATAATGGGAAAGAGGAAATCACGTCCTCATAAATGGAATAATTAAGGGCGGCCGCCTTTGCATTTGGGCATTTAAGATCTACCGTTTTTCCGTCTCTGTCACACCAGGTGTTGTCAGTCTCTCCGTGATTTAATTCCGTAAAGCCCTGGACCCGGTTAAAAAAAGGCCAATTAGCGCTAATCCAGGATTAAAATTTTGTTCCGTTTTTGTCTTTTACCTTCCTACGTGTTGCGTAGAGAAACCTTTTTTGTTATCATTATTGTATCGCGGAGTAAACGCTCAACAGGATTGTTTATAGTTCAAGTTGCATATCCTTAGCAAGAAACCCTCGCTTAAAACTAGCCTTAATCCTGGGTTAAACTTAACCATCTTTCGGGGAACCGGGCCCTGGAGTAAGATTTTACTGATTTTGCTCGATCTGCTTCTGAGAGAGCTCATCTTTTATTTCAAAATAATGCTTATTTGGGAACATTTTATTGCCTCTTTATGGAAGTTAGGCTGAAAAATATACCGAGACAGCTCCTGACCGGGAGAACTAAGAGGCTCGAAAGAGCTCTTCAGGCAGTGGATTTTTGCAAATCCCTCATCGGTTCTCATCGAGGAGTTCGGACCAACCCCATTTGGGACGTAAATGTTGAGGTAAAGGAAAACAAATTGCCCTGGGAAAATTCAGAAAACTGCTTAATTGTTGGAAGTCCCCAACCAAGGATTCTGGGGTTGTCAAGTTTAGTTTATTAATAGCTACGACCAAACGCATAGAGTGTGTACCTATAACGAAGTCTTAGAAAAATTTCTAGCATTCTTTTCATTCCTTACTTTATTTTCTCTGGGTTTCTTTTTTTTGTTTCGCTGTCACGGGCCTATAGAACTGCAATCTTGGACAAAATAAAATGGAACAGCAAACCCCCATCCCCCCCCCAAATCAAGGATGAAGGCACGCGAAGGGCAAAAACGCGCCATTTTCCCATCCTTGATTTGGCGGGGAGGGGGGGGGGGTCTCTGAGGTTTTCCATTTATTTTGTCCAAGATTGTGGCTCCGGTTGTTACAACGTTGGATAGCGCTATCCACCGGATAAATCACTATCCAGTGGATAAGTATTAGGGAAATCAATTGCGTTATCCACCTGTCAAACACTGGGCCCTGTAGGCCAGGGCCTACACATTTTTGGTTGGATAACAGCTACCGCTTGTTATAAATTATGCGCTGTTGGTGTGAGCTAAAAAGCGAAAGAGCTCAAAGTGTTGGTGTGGTCAGTGCGCACTAGTACGTCACTAGTCATGCGTGCAATTTTCAGGATATGTGGAAATGAAAGTCAGACAGGCCTACAACTGTTCCTAGCTGTTATAGAGATAACATTTCATTGAAAGGAACATAAAAACACACATGAGAAAAGGACAGTCAGATATAAGACCCAACTTATCTGTATCTATATCTATCATCAGCTTTTCTTTATTCGCACAAGCAGAATAATCAGCTTTCTTCAGTTCGAGCCTTAAAATCAAACGTGTTCTGAAGTTGCGTTTTTGTCCCAAATTTTCTCTTTTCTTCCTGACAGTGCTCAGTGTGCATTTGGCTTTCAGTTTCAAAACAAACATCCTTTCAAAAACTCCACCTACGCGCTTGAAGCTTTTTCCTTTTTTCTGTGAGGAAAGCCTAGGATGAAGTTGTGAGTCCGTGTGGAGAAGAAAGTTAGTAGGATATAGGAATTGGCTGTGTGACCTCTGTACAAGTCTTTTTGTAGGTTGGGGAAAGCCCTCTCCCGCTCCCAGCAATCTCCTTCGTCCTTTCTGGCTTCTCAGCTTGTCCTTCATACGTCACAACACTTCTAAACACTTTGTCGACGATCAAGCCTATTTTGCACGGTAAGTGGACTGACCCAATATCCCAGACGTTGAAAAAATTTCTCACTAAAAAATTTCACAACGAGCACCGTGCTCTTCCTCAGTTTAGGGACATTGGTGGAAAGACGGCAGAAGTAAAAAGAATGAAGTGCTAAAGGACGGATAGGGGCTTTTGAATGGAGGGGAGTATGATACACTTGAATTTACACCCGCGCCGCCGGTGAAGCAGGGTTTTTTTTAAGCCCCTGAAGAAGGTTTGTTTTCAAACCGAAATATTGGGCAATTTGTTTAAATATATATTCTTTGTTTTATTCTTTTGTTTACTTTTTCATCGCATTGCCGCAAGGATCAGTTTGCCGCTTCATATTTTCTACAAGTTTTAATAATTGTACTGATCCTAGCCTGCGTAGCAGGCGTTGAAAGGGGTAGGGGATAGGGAAAAAGGGAAAAAGGGAAAAAGGGAGGGGGGTAGGGGAGAGAGGTGTGCTTTTCTCGCTCCCCCTTTCCCTCCCCTTTTTGCGCCTGCCACGCAGGCTATACTGATCCCATCCTCGGAGACCCAGGGGTGGTCAGTCGGGTTGGGAGAAAAGGCGCGACGAAAGCCGTTTCAAGTACGGGCGCCCCTTTTCTCCCAACCCGACTGACTGCCCCTGGGTCTCCGAGGATGTACTGATCCAGGTCTACAAGTGGGACTCCAGCACCACTCATTGGTTTGTTGCTGTAGACTTGCTGATATTTTATATAACCGGTAATTGCTTTGTTCCTAGGGGACTCTCCTCTCCCTCCCTAGATACACCCCCGCTACCTCAGGGCCCAATTGTTCCAAACGTCGATTAGCTGGGTAAATTTTGAATCCGGGTTTCCTTTTTCTCTGATAATTTTCTCTATTCTTCTTAGATCATCAAATTGTAGACAAAAAGACTTAACAGGGGCACCCAACGAGGATATAGTTCAAAACCACTTAACATCGCATTGTTGAACGTATTTTAGTATTCAAACGGTAGATATAGGCATATCCCCTAAAAACTTTTCATCTGTTCGGATTTCCTAGCTGAAAGTCTAGTGATCCGAAAATTATAGGGAGAAAAACTTACCTTCTCGAAAATTTCAGCCAGGAAAAGGCTCCCGAAAATTTTAGATGGCCTTTTTTAGGGTCAAAATCCGTTAAAAATGGGTTATTATACCATTTTGTAGTTCTTCGAAAATCCTAGGAGAGGCAGGCAAGCAAGAAATTTTACAACAAATGCTCCGAAAATTCTAGATCTCAAATCGTCTTCCGAACAGATATTTTCCCGAAAATTGCCGTTGGGTGCCCTGACTTAAACTAAATTTGATTTTTAAGCTTTCATATCTGAAGTCAAATTCCTCTTCTGGGTTATCTTAAGCCAGCTTCGAACAACCCGGCCCTGGCTAAGAATTGATAACAATCGTCGTAATAAACACTTTATCATAGAACGTAGACCAAAACATTATTGTAGCTAATATAACTTCTACAAGGAAGTTCTTCTGTATTCTCTTGCCCGGCTTCAATTGTTCTAGAGGTCTTCTTTTTTCTAATTTTTGTCGCCTGAGTGGCTGGCAGGATTAAAGGTCGCTCTAGTTCTTTGGTGGGCGGCGGAGCCGCGAGAAGGTTGGGAGCTAAACGGACCGCGGCTGCAGTTCATTAGTGGTTGTCGGTCAAATAGAAAGTTTTCTGTTAAAAACAATATAACAAAGTGACAAGGCTCACCATTCGTTTGTTTGGACAAATAATACAGGTGATTTTCACAAAGAAAGTGCACATTATGCATCAGTCAATTCCAGCTGCGCCCAGCCCTCCCCCCGGGCATTAACATTTTTTTTTGCCTTGGATGGCAAATTCCCGGGGGTGGAGACTCTTGAGCTGTGAGATCCCCCAGGGTGGGGACGAAAAAAGTGGGTAAATTCACCGTCCCCCTTCAACACTGCAACATTTTTCATTGGTCGCACGGTGGGGTAGTGTTTTAAGCAGTGTTTTGGGTTAAAATTAACGTCTGCCTTTGTAATAGCGCTATTCTAATTAAGACTCCACGCCGCGAAGACACCAGTTTATTGTTTTAGTGTTGTTATAAATTACTGACATTAAAATTAATTGTGTGATTTAAAGTTATCTGCTCTGAATAGTTTTATAAATATGAAAGTATGTTCTTTAAATAATATCAGCAGAAGTTTGACTCAATAACCATAAAAACGTTGATTCACGTCAATAGCTCCCTATTTCGCTATGTCATTTTGGCTTGATAAGCAGTGAAGAAATGCATGCATAAAATCGAGAATATGCTTTTACAACCCTCTACAATTTTTTCCCGTCCTTGACAGGTGATGAGCCAATCTGCTTGCTTCTCCAGTAAAATCCTCTGAGTAGTTATATTCGGATAGGAAACCGCGTGCGTGTCAAAAGCTCGGTAGTGGCCCCGGTGTTGGCAAATGCCCGGCCCCCGGGAAGCGCAAAATTTGCTAATGCCCCACCCCAACTCCCGGGACTGACAAGGCGGGCAAATGCCGCAGAATCCCGGGGAGGGGGGTTGTCGGCAGCTGGAATTGACTGATGCATTACATGTACTTGTGAAATCTTTGTCTGCATTTGTACTTTAAACGGCTGATTACCTGTTTGCTCGTGTAGCTGCTGCCTAAGCCTGTCTCAACTTTTATCGAAAGGAATGTCCTGAAATTTTCTGTTTGTAAACTTTAATTGCTAAACGATGACTTCAAATGTAAGACATTTAAAATATGTCGCCCACAGGTGCTATTAAATTCTAGTTTCATCTGCTATTGTCATGCAGTCATGGTATCTTCCAATTGTTTATATTTCTTTTTAATGCAAAATAATATAATAATTAAGATGACGTCACGGTTGTTATCTTTTTCCTTTAAATTCCGTCCTTTGCACTAACACAACAAGGGTACTTTTTCTTCGTCGCTTTCTTTCGCAATTTTCTCATTTAAACATTGAAACTCTACCTTGCCTCCTTTAAAAAAGCACCTCTGCGTTTGAAGACCTTTAAGGCCCTCGAATTTTTGCGAACGGTAAGTTTCCTTTCTGTTAATATACCACGACCACAACAAATGAAAGTATGAGTATAGCAGATCAATACATTTACAACTTTAGTGTCTCTTGTTGGCTAGTTGTTGTTTAAAATTTGTTACTTTTAGCTTTCGTACAAAATAATATAAACCAGTATAAAGTAAAACAAAGTAAATAACCCGTGACGCTGATTTATGCAAGAATTTTCAACTTAAGTTTGCATGAAAACTGTCGAAATTTTAAAGTTTATGTTTCTTGAAATTATTTAAAGTCAAAAGATTTTTTCGTTTATTATGAAATGGATCATGTTTTTAAAATCGTGAAGTCAAGTTTTCTCAACAGACTTGCCATCTTGGTCACGCAACAAACATGAACAGGATTCTTTCGAATTTTACGGGCTACTGATTACTAAAAAACACTTTTCTTCCGAAAATTTATCTTTTAGGAGGTTGTATCAGTTGCAGCGATTTCCATTCTTTTACAAAGAAAATAGAACAAAAAAGAACCTCTTTTCCTGTTGGCTTAGAAATCATATCGTGCTTTTAACAATACCACCAATGTATCAAACCCGGCGGGGGTATCAAATCAGAATTCAGAGAATCACTTGGGGAGGTGGGGAAGCACTTGGAAAATGCTAGAAAGGCTGTCAGAAGTACCATAAGTTGAAGAATCTCCTCATCAACACAAAGTTGTCGATTTTATAGAGAATTTCCCACTGGGAATCAAATACTTAAAGAAAATTTAGAATTTCTCAAAATTAATGTATTTCCTATTGGACTGCGACAGCCGGAAATAGAACCCAGTTTTCTTCGTGCGAATAAAGCTAAGAGGGGGTGCCAATGTATTGGTCCAATGCAAACATGTTCTAGCGCCCTCAAGTTACGCCCATCCTTACTTTTAGCCGAGTGGTGAGAATCTTGGCGAAATTTGGGTATATTTCTCCAGCGTTTCATTTCATTTCGTCTCCAGAGGTTAGTGAAGTTGATCAGACAAGCATTTCGCATTGTCTGTTTTATTTTGACTCTTTTGGCGTCATTTTTGGCTCAGAAAATCGTGATGCTTCATAAGCTTGTCTCCTGGAATATAGCTAAACTGCAGCAGAAATTCTAATGCACCGTCGTGGAACGTTGTTTTGTGCATTACCAGTCTATTAAAACGAACTAAGAAACTTTCTTTTCACATAGTCCTTCTCTTGTCATATTTGATGGCAATTCTGTGGGACGGCAGTAGATATCTTCGGCGAGCGTGACTTCTAAAATTATGTAGCTCATTGCCTGGTTAATCTTAATTTTTGTTCTTCAATTACAGATCGAGGCAAAATAAACCTTTTCCTGTTGGTTAGGATATTTCACCAGTTTGTGTTTAAAGATTTATTTGTAGTGGAAAAAGAAAAGGAATCAAAATGCCAAAAGTGGTAAGTTCACTCGAGAATTACCGATGTTGGTTAAGAAACTGAAACTTCGAGCTCAATCTGGATTTCTTGTTTCCTTGCAAGGAATTCGAAAGTACGAATTTGTGTACATTAGTTTTCGATTTGTTATGAATTAACAAGCTCAAAATATCTCTTAGGTCAACGTTCGAGTAACTACTATGGATGCGGAGTTAGAATTTGCTATTCAACCAAGCACGACTGGAAAGCAACTATTTGACCAGGTTTGTATAATCATAGTATTTATCTTTCTATTCACATGCATATTTTAATTAACCGTGCAATTTGTCAATTCAAGCAGTGTTCAGTTCATTTCCCACGAGAAAAGAATAGCTTTAGCATAAATTATCTGTGTATTTTGTGCTTTGCCAAGGTCGTGAAGACGATAGGACTGCGAGAAATCTGGTTCTTTGGTCTCCAATACACGGATACCAAAGGCTTTGTAACGTGGCTGAAGTTGAACAAGAAGGTAGGCCGGCCTATATTTTTGCCATGTAAAAATTATTTTGACAAAACCCATGATTCAGATAATTTGTATGATCGATGTACTATAAGCTTGCATTTTTTAGTCTACCCATCTTCATTTACTGTCATGATGAGGGATTTAATATTCATTGTGTGGCTTGGTAATAGAGTCTGACAGGAAGTGTGCAAAATCAATTTAGAAAACTTCCATTGTCTTTTAAGTATTCCATAGTTTGGCAGTCAACTGTGGAAAAAAAACTACAAAGGTTTACAATATAACTATCTGAACAGGCAAAGCACAGATTTGTCATATGCATGCTTCTGCAATCCAAGATATGTGAGACTAACAAGTTTTGATGGGGCATTACTTTCCGGGCTGCCTATTGGGTAGTTTTGTGACAAGACAACCTATTTGTTTTTGAAGTGTATGGCTTGATTGTTTTGATCAGTTTGTTTGCCAAGATTAAAAAAAAACAAAACATGAGTCACATAAGCACTTGCTATTAATGAAATTTTCATGTCACTTAAATTGCAGTATAGCTGCATGTTCCTCTATGTGATTTATAATTGGAACTGTTGTTTTAAGTTTTCTGCATGCTCCTTTTCACTCATGAATCTATTTACCAGGTTATGATGAGCACTATAATTTGGTCAGTCGTTCTACTGGTCAAGAGTTGTAAACTTTTATTGTATGCAAGTGAGTCTCATGATGAGCATGTGCTTGATTTTTGGCGATGATTGAAATGTTGCACTATTTTGATCATGTTTTGGCACTTTGCCAGTGATGTAATTGCCCTTGAGTCAAGGCCCTTGATTTTGTGTATTTATTCATGCATACTTATTGGTTCAGAAGTAAAACTTGGCTTTCTATAGTTCAGTGTAAGAGGTAAATACCTTTAAGAACACACAACTGTCAGCAAAGTAGAACATGAAAAACTTATATATGTGACCTCACACAAGAAAACGCACACTAACGGCTATCCATTAAACAGTTTAAATGGACGGCTGCAGGGTTTCAGAAAGTTTTGAAGTAGACAGCTGAGTTGTCAAAGTTAGTGGCCAGTCCAGGGATTATTTATTTCAAAAATGCCATCCGTAGAGACATGCCAAGCAGAGTAGCCGGCCAATACTAAAAAAATAGGCAGGGATTTTCCCCGGCAGCCGGCTACTTTTGACAACCCTGCGGCTGAGAAATGAGAGGAAAATGGATATCAAGAGCTTTAAAACGGTTTCCTAGGCTTTTCGAACTGTGAAGCTAAATTTTCTAGCGTATAGGCTGAAGCGTTTTAATGGCAAAGCAAACCATTAAAACGACTAGTGAAAAGCAATTTAAATGGATGGGTATTAAAGAACGATGTAATGGCTTTAAACCATATAAAACATTTTAATGGATTATAGGGCACTCATAAACATCTTATAGCTAAGCAAAATAAAGTTGTAAGGTTAACACTGGTTGGCAAAATCCACAAGTGTTTTTAGCCTAACTTGCGGAAACTTTCCTCAGGATATTAAAAGGATAAACAGCCAAACTCTTTTGATTGTTCATTCAGTCAGTACACTGGTAAACCCAGAAAATTTTCCCATCTTGTTTTCCTGTATTGTTTGAGACTGGAGGAAAACATCCCTTGAGCCACAAACAGCTGATCAAAACACCGAATCGTCGGGAATCATTTGCTGCACAAGATGTTCGATCACACAGACTCATCCCAGGACAATCCGCATGTGACTTGTCTGTAACATGACGTGCATTAGTCTTGACATTGGGGTCAATGAGCCAATCTCTTCAGGTCACATGCTTTCATCAACAACAAAGACGGTGCCTAAATAGGAGTGACGGCTGTTTTCACAGGCTACTAGAACTCCGTTGAAAGAACACATTAGCAACCCGAACTTGGAGACTAAAACAAAACAAAAATCAAAAATTCGTACAAAGAGTTGAAAGTCAACATGAACTGAAAGGCCTTTAAGACTTGCTGGTATTGGAGTTGCATTCAGATGCGATAATTTTACACATACACTCTGAAGTTTACACATGCTGCCTTACAGTGCCTCGAGGTTTCAAGGGTTTCAAAACAAGCCGGTGACCGCAGGAGTTCCACCGGCTACTTGATTGCCAGCTAATCTGGTCATAACAATAAGCTTATGACAAACAATCTTGATTGACACAGCTGCCTACTTCAAAACATTTTGAAACCACCCCTTGATTTGTAAATGTCAGAAACTGTAAGCAGCTAGCTTGATATTGCAAAGACACAAGGGCTGTAACAGAAGTAAGAAACAAACTCTTCTAATGTAAATCTTCTGTTCTTGTTTGAGCTAATGTTAGTAATAGCTGTTTAAATGGCTTGTGATTTTTTTGCCATTTTGGCAGCTGCCATTTTAAATGCTTTCTGAAGTCAACTAAATGGTCCAGGATCATGTTTGCTGTTTAAACTGCTTATTAAAGTAATCTAACAGGTGGTGATTACCGTTTTAACAGAATGGGTTGAAATGAAAATGGTTTGTGTAATGGGTTAATGGTCTGATAAAATGTTTAAATGGATAAAAAACCGATAGCCATTAGTGTACGTTTTTCCATGCAAGGTCACATATTGGGGAAATCCTGTTTTGTGTAGAAAGCCACATTCTTATGAAGGCAAAGAGTTTGAAGACCATACCTTTCTCATATTTGAAGCAATTCCTGGAATTCTACAATGAAACAGATTTAATTGTTCTTTGCAGATGCGCTTTGTTGTAGTGAACTATTATTAACATAAGTCTAAAATGTTTTCCACCATTTTTATCCCTTAACCCTTTCACTGCCAAATTTAGGGAAAAGCAGATTTGACCAAATTTCATTTTGTAAAATTTTGAAAAACAACTAGCATCATGTGTAAGTACAGGCAGAGAGATTTTATTTGAATGGTCACATCATAGGATTTGGTCCACAGACTCAAAAGATTGAGTTGCCTTACAAAACTCCATCAGGCACTCTGGCAGTCAAAGAGTCAATAAAACCTGCACATCAATTATGCTTAGCACTATCAATTCAGCTCTTATACGACTACAATGAAGACATTGACTACATTTACACTTAAAAAAGGGCAATCTGCCTATTGATCCATGCCGGGCGTATAATCGCGGGTCCCTTGACTATTTGTGCGCTCACAAAGGATGCCAACGCATCCTTTGACTCTCTGACTGAAATGTAACTTAAGAAAAGCGATAATTTAAAGCTTCCGCACTACTTTCCTTTATATTAGGAATTGCAATCACTCGACTTGTAAATTATTTTGACTTATATAAAATATTTTAAGGTTTTAAGCCAGTAGAATGCCAGAAAAACAAATATGAAGTCGAGTAGTTTTGAATTGTTTTCATTTGTATGCAGATTACCAGTCGTTTCCATCAAACTGAATTATCCTGGCTTTTTTACGACTTTTCAGTTTGCTCTGTTTCATTTTATATTGTTTTTGTGAAAGCGTAATTCTTTCATGTGAATTTACGCTTTCAAAAGGAAAAAACTTTGAGGAAACGTTGCGTTTATAGCCCCGGAGATACATAACTATTTTGCTTCACTTACACTCATATGAAATTAAATTACCCTTCTTTTGGCAGATTTTGCTGGAGATAAAAATATTGCCTTTGATTTCTCAGATGCTTGCCTTTTTGGGTACCCTGTTTATTTTGACTATCAGGATTTTTTAGGCTTTGCCTCAGACTAATCATTCCATTCTGAGAAAAGCTGTAACTGAATAAAGTCACGCAACACATCTTAAGACTGCATAACTTGATCTTTCTGCTATCTTTTGTTTTTTTATTGTCTCCAAAACAATCAAGATGTTTCACCAGTTTTCACTTACAAATAACAGGAGATGTTTGATTGCCCGAAAAATTTGTATTTACTTTCAACACGTTTCAATAGGTGCAATTTCGTAATATGTTGGTCACAAGAACAGGTTTACAAAATTGGCCCCACCAATTTCTCAAATAGGAAAGAATTATTGACCGCTGGTGTAAAAAAAAACCAAAATGTCTGAGAGCTTTTGAATCATTAAATGTAAAATTATTCCAAACAGGGCTCACAATCCTGTTGTTTTGTGGAATGTTAGGTCTGTTCTCGTGTAGCATTTGGTACAAAGATGAACGCGGTGCATAAGTGATGAGTGATTTGTAATGCTAGGCACATTTCACTTTGTTGTGTTTGGACGAGCTGCTTTGGGTTCTTATTAACCTATAGAACTTACCTCTGGAACTGTCACGAGAAGTTCTATTGTTTTTTTTTTGCTTATCCATGGAAATTTCCCTGAGGCAATTTTGGGGAAGTTGGTTTCACACAAAAAGTCGCTTCCCCACAGGCAACAGCCATTTGCCAAGAGGGAAAACGGATTGTATAACTGCACCTATTAAGTATGATAATTTCACTTTGTCAGATTACCTGGAAAAACAGCTTTCAATCCACGTGAATTATTAGGAATTCAATCAATTTGTCTGACAGTATTTCTGTGATCTACAATTTTCCAAAAAACTTCACTTGCCTGTCAGGCAAGTTATTAGTTAAGAATACATGTAGAATTCACTAGCCTGATAGCAAAATCAACTAGCCCTGGGCTATCAGACATGACTTCCACATTTCCTTGTCACAACCCAAAGGAAAAAATCGATCGTAACAAACTCTAGGAAGTTTGACCACGTAACACCTTTGCTTCGAGAGCTAAACTGGCTTCCTGTTAAAGAACAATTATTCTATAGAGACTCCGTTTTGACCTTTAAATGTCAGAGCGATCTTGCGCCTCAATACTTAACGAGCAAGTTTACCAAGCGCTCAAATATACATACTCGTAACACTCGTACACGGAACTCTTTGCAGATTCCGCTATACAGAACGGCTATAGGCCAGCGCACATTTTTCTACAGAGGGGCCTACACATGGAATAACTTGCATAATGAACTTAGGCAAAGTGCCTCATTGGCATCTTTCAAGCGCGCCCTGAAAGACACACTATTAAAGCAGACATTTCCTTCATAAGCTCTAGAATTTAGTAGAACACCACCATAAATTGTGATTTCGAGTTTTCATTGTCATTTTTGCTTTTATAAATTGTAAATAGTTCCTGAAAAACCTCACGAGGATGTTACTATTAAAGTTATTATTATTATTATTATTATAAAAAAAATCACCTTCAGCCACCAGCCTAGGTGCTGCTCTACCAGATCCCTTTTGTTTCTTGATTTTTCTAAGTTCTGTTAAAGTTTTTTCTTTCTGTCAGTGCCATAAAGCCTGCTGTGTTGTCTTGTCATATTTTGTTAAAGGAGACAGTGTGTTAAAGCTGTTGTTAGGGTTAAGTGTTTATTAGAGCCTCACCCTTCAACACAAGATTTACAGCGGCATCAATATCATAGTGTTAATTGTAAATGAAACTGTATGAAATTTATCTACGGACAAGAATTTCATTACATTCATCTTGACAATTTCTCAATTTTCTTTTTTATTAGGTTAATAGCCAAGATGTTAAGAAAGAGTCACCACTTCAGTTTAAGTTTCGAGCAAAGTTCTACCCAGAAGACGTCTCTGAGGAACTCATTCAGGAAGTCACCAGGGTATGTAAGGGCGAGGTACATGGCCTTTAAAAAGCCTCAACCATGACAGATAAGGCCACAGTTAAATGATTAATTATGCATAATTTATTATTACTGTATAAATTATTTAAATAAATATTTTTAGAATTATGATGCCATATTGACAGCATGCTATGAAATGAGTTCAAATGAAGGTTTTCCAGTTTCTCACGTACATTCTGTGCTGCAATTGGGTCAGTGTCACAACAAACATCAAGAGCAGCAGTTTACAGTCAATTCCCTTTATAGCGGACATCATGGGGACCTCAAGTTAGTGTCCTCACTAGCAAGAGTCCATAATAATTGGTGTTTAATTCAGCCAAACGTCTGTAATTTATTTTGGGCTGGGATTTAGCTGCTGTCCATATTAAGTGATTCTAGCTTAATATACTTGTATAATTTTTATTTTGGAAATTGCTTTTTGAGAAATAGATTTTTGAAAATGACACATTTATAGCAGGTCTAACACCTTAAGAAGATATTGCACATGTGGAGAGTTATATAGGACAAAGTGTTTGTCTTTGCATGTTCCCATCTTGTATTAGAGTATATTCATTTTACGATTTTAATAATAACAGTGTCAGAAATTATTAACAGTGACAAAAAGTGTAATTCTTCTTGTTTATTTCATCACTGTCTTTCTTTGTGAAAGTTGAAACTGGTCATCTGTTTTTGTAGAGGCTGTTCTTCTTACAAGTTAAGGAAGACATTTTGACAGAAAGAACATATTGTCCTCCAGAAACTGCTGTTTTGCTGGCCTCTTTTGCTGTAAGTTAAATGATCAGATTTTAATGATTTAATACTAGCTAATTGGGCTGATCATGGAGACAGCACAGGGTAACAGTGCTATCTTATCCCAAGGGCTCAAAGTTAAAAAAATCCTCAGGTTGCCTTTTGGCGACCAACTGGAGAAATATAGTCAACAGATGCAAATTTTTAGTTGCCAGTTTGTGTATTGTAAATGATGTAGCTTATAGCATGGCGCGATCCATCAGATTTGATTGTTTGAAAATATTGCGTACAGAAGTCAGTATAAATTTGGAGGTAAACTGTCTTTGTCTGTGAGATTTGGCAACATTTTTTCTGACAAAAGCAAAGAAAAATAAGATGAAATGTTTGTTTTCACTTTACTCTTTGAATTCAAATGTAAATCATAGTTAAATCTCGTTGACTAAACCAGAATTTTTAGTCGCCAAGGAGAAAATGGCGGCCATATCAGTCACATTTTGGTCAGACAAAATAGGTCATCATAATTTGGACTCGCTTTGAAACGGAGGCTGGTGCAACCTTGGAAATGGCCTATTGAGATCGTGGTTACAGAATGATATCCGGCTTGAGTTGAACCTGACAGTTTTCTGAATATCAATCTACTTTCACATCTGAGCAGTCCTGATCACAAATTAGGCACTTAAGTGCAAAATTAAGGATGTTACCGTCTTCATCAAGGAATAAACAAGACCAAGACCAGCCATTAAATAGCATGATTACCCCAGTGGGGCAAAGAGACAGCTGACATCTCAGACTATAACTTTGTGGCTGTTTCCTTTTGTGCAGTTGCAAGCTAAGCATGGAACAAGAAATCCAGAGGTGCACAATCAGCAGTTTTTAGGAGCTGAAAGATTATTGGCTGAAAGGTAGAATTTAATTCTTTATTCAATTGTTCTTTGATTTTAGTGTTAAAAAATTCTCACTTGTTTTACCCTCTAACAAGCATTCCTAGGAAGATTGAAGATTTGCATTTGACCACCCCCCTTCCCCACACCTCCTCACCCCTTCCTCACTATTTTGTTTTCACCCCAACAGTCATGACTTGCTTAAATAAGACTGGCTTTAATGGGAATGCTTGTTTCGCAGGCTTGCTTTGTCATTTATAGTTTATCTTATGTGCTTTAAAGTTGTTTCTTATATCTTATGCTTGCAGAGTATCGCAAACCCATGCAAAAGACAATCTTCCAGAAAAAGTAGCACAATGGTGGTCTGAACATGCCATGTTGTCAAGGTGAATCATGTAATAGGACATTTTAACCCTTTATATATGTCCCAAGAGTCATGTCTGACTCAAAGCATAATCATGAGAAAACAAGGCTACTAATGAGAAAGAGGAAATGTGTCCATCTTTTATCAAATTCTCCATTTATGTCCAGAAATGCACACAATGGTGGATCTGGCAAAAAATCTCCAGAGAGCTGGCAAAAATTTAATTTCAATGTGAAGCCCCAGGGTAGTGGGGCTTGGTATCCCTGGGGAATTTGACTGTATTTCCTTTCCCCATGACATGAAAATAGGGTTGGCTTCTGATTGGCTGCGGTTGACACACCTACAATGTCAAACCCCCCTGGGTATGCCCAGCCCCCTCTACATTTACTGGTGCATAAATGAGATTACGAGAGGTGCTCCCTGTAAAGTAGAGAAGTTGACGAAAATGGCGAATCTGGCGTGAACGGCAAATCTGGCAAAAATTCTTTATGGGTTAGGTGAATATTCAATTTAGATGCAAAACATGGCCCCTTGGAGATTGGCGATTATGACAAAAATGGCAAATGGCGAAGACAGTGAAAACTGGACAGCAATGGCAAATCCAGTGAAAAAACACCAGAGGGTTGAGAGGGCTATTTTGGCAAAGATGGCATATTTGGCAAAAATGGCAAATATGGCGAACACCCACCAAAGTCTTAGCAAAAATTCAAATGAAATGGCAAAGGAGCCTTTTGAAAGAAAGGGGTGATTTTGACAAAAAAAGATGAAAATGGTTAATATGGCGAAAATTTGTCAAAGCCTTAACTACATGTGAAATAGGATGCCATAGGGGTCCCTTGAAAAGTGGCGATTTTGGAGAAAATGGCAAAAATGGTGAACGTGGCGAAAATTTCCCCAATTCTCCCAACTAAATTTCTTGTAATAGAAGGTCCAAACACATGTGATCAAATTGAGTTCTATGTCTTCCACTCATGCTTACTGGAATTTCTAAAGAATGCTGGCTACATACCAGTACCTGCTGTGTATGTTTTATAACAACCTGGAGATTAGGGTACTAACGGGGTCCTTTGGTCGCCCGCAATTAAGATCACCAAACAAAGTGGCCAAGTGAATTAAAGCAGAGTGCAAATGTAATATTAAATTGTTTGAGTGAAACCAAAGAATTAGCTAAAGTGGTATCGTAAAATAATTTTGTTTCTGGGACCAGAAGGATTTGATTCTACTTGCACTATGGAAGACTAGCATCTTGAGTTATTTTGACCCACAAGGAAGCAAAAGCATTTGATAATCATTAATGCCTGAGAGGTTGTTTTGTTCTTACAGGGAAGATGCTATGATTGAGTATCTTAAGACTGCTCAGGATTTAGAAATGTATGGTGTCAACTACTTTGACATCAAAAACAAGAAAGGGACAGAGCTAAACCTTGGTGTAGATGCATTGGGTTTGAATATTTATGAAAAACAAGACAAGTAAGTTTTAATTTGGTATTGGAACCATTTGAATAGGGTTCAATAGTATTAAAATGATTATTGATGTTATGATCTAGTGCATTCCAGTGAAAATTTTTAATACTCTTGGAGTTTACTAGCGATGGTAAATTCTCCCATTACATATAACATGTCAGCAAAAGAGATATGTTGACTTTTGGATGTGAAATGTAAAATAGAAATTTTTTATTTTTTTTTATCCATTACCAGGTTAACACCAAAGATTGGATTTCCTTGGAGTGAAATAAGAAATATCTCTTTTAATGACAAAAAATTTATCATCAAACCCATAGACAAAAAGGCACCGGTAAGTCATGTTGCTATTTTAATTCAAGAAATCAAGTGGAATATGATAATGATTAAGTCTTTTTTGTCTAAGAGAATATTTTATGCAGCCATTAAACTTATTGTTAATTTCGTAATTTTAGGATTTTGTTTTCTATGCATCACGGTTGAGGATAAACAAGCGAATTTTGGCCCTTTGCATGGGAAACCACGAACTTTATATGAGGCGCAGGAAGCCAGACACCATTGAAGTTCAACAGATGAAAGCTCAAGCTCTGGAAGAAAGACAAGCAAAATTGAAAGAAAGGTAAGCTTTGTTATCAGTGACTATGTTAATGAAATGTGTGTTGAAAGATTCATTACAGAGAAATTGCCTACACCTTGTACTCATTTACAATAACCAATTTGCCACTATATCTTTCACTGGAAAGTGATGTTCAAAGCAACCTAAGCCATTTAGCAGCCACCAGAGGAAAAGAGCTAATCTGCAAACTATTGTTGCTTTCCTTCCCATTTCAGATTCCCTCTATTTGACTACTAAACAACCAGATTCACTGAAGTACTTAGGGTGCGTTTTTTTGGGAGAATTCCAAAACGAATTTGTTATCTCAGATCATGTGGATTCTTCACTTAACCAAAAAAAATTGAATCCGAAAAAGGATCATTTACCATGACAATGGCATTTCCTCATGCTCCTCGTGGTTAAAAAAAGTAGAGGAAAAAACAACAAACTGATCCTCGTGGCGAAGACAAGAAGGAGAAGCAACTTAAGCTATGTATGAATATACAAAATGTATATATTTCAGTTTGAACCCAAATGTCTCTAGAATTCACCAAATTTTTGGGCAGTTCAGGTGTAAGTGGGCTGATACTGTCCTTGATTGGGTGACCTGTGATGAGAGATCACAGTGGTAGATTGTAGACTGCAGTGTGTATTAAGACCCTGCTTTTTTATGCCAGTCTCATTCTGACTGCAGCTTGATGTAAAATCCAACTTTGTCCATCACTGACGTGAGCTTCTTCAGCTTGTTGTTCAAGGACTCTGTGGTGCTTCTCAGACATTCAACTCCAAAGTTGCTTTGTTTTGCTCTTCACTTTGACAGTTATTTTCTACTTAGTTGGTTTTCTTTTGTTTTTCATACATTGATCATGACTTCTCTTCATATAATTTTTTATTTAAATCCAGAATATGCAGAAATAGGTGGAATTCTAAGTGCTGTTGAAGCTATTTTGCCTTTGTGTTGTTGTTGTTGTTAGTTTTTTTAACTCTGTGTTGTATGATCATTGTGATTGCACAGCATGACCATGAAACTGCTGTGGACTTGAAAAATTGCCATCTAGGCTATGATAAAATTCTTATCCCATAGTTAACGTTGCATTCTTTTTCTATTTTAGGCAAAAACTGGAGCAAGAAAAGGTGGCCCGCGAGAAAGCTGAAGCAGAAAGAAAGAGATTAGAGGAAGAAATAGCTCAACTTAAGGCTTCACAGGAGAAACAAGCAAGAGGTTGTCATAACCTGTGCAGTTTATTGTTGAGTTTCATGATTATGATCTATGCATCATACAGCAATTTACAACTTTAAATATCTCTACTCCCAACTGCTTTTTTTAAAGGATAAATTTTGCCAGAAACAAGGTCAGGAACTTCAGGGTTAATGGGCTGTCTGTATTAAGTGTGTCGTGTTACGCAAGTCAAAATGAACCTTTCATTAAGTGAAACAAAATAAGATAATGTTATTGTCAAAGTATATGAAGTTTTCTACACAAATGTAAGTGAAAAAAGACCAAACTTTGGTCCATTGTCACCATTTCAAGAAGGAATGGGCAAAATTAGTCATCGGAGCAACAAAGTATTTAATTCTTATAGGTTTGTAATGCGGAAAAAATTATCAATGTACATTATGATGCAGTTAGATTTAGCAACACTCTACATGAGCAATTTTTTTTTCTTGTGCAGCTGGTTAATTGTGAAATTTCTTTCATTTGGATAGCAGTATTGTGAAAACAAGTAGACGATTCAACTGTTTACCTCAGTTGCATAATGTATTTGCATAAATATTTCTGTTATTTTTGCTGCTTTTGTTTAACTTTTTTCAATCAATACTATTTCAAAAAGAAAAATGCATTATTTAGCAATACTATTGAGATGATATACTCTGGGGATGTTTTTGAAGCTGTTCAAAGCACTAACCCGTGATAAATCACTGCTGTTTGTGTTTTAAACATCACTTAGAGCTGAGATGACAAGGAAGTGTCTATTAGTGAATTGAAAAACAAAACGTAAAAAATGTGTCTGTTGTCAGACTTAATATGTGTCTGTATAAAGGGGCTGAATTTAGAGAAAATATTAGGGCTATCCCCAAGGACAAAGAAAACTGTCTGTTATAAGTTGCCTTTATTCCCATAAAACACTGGGTTGACTTTAATCAGTAGTTGTATTATAATTGTTTATTTAAATTCTGTGATTTTATCCATAGAAAAGAGAGAGGCTGAGGAGAAAGCTGCAGAGTTGGCCAGGAAAAAAGAAGAACTAGAACAAGAAACCAGAAGGAAAGAAGAAGAGACCAGAATGCATTTAGCTGAAATAGAGGAAATCAGGAAGAAAAAAGCTGAGGATGAGGAGGAAAAGGAGAAATTGGTATGCCTAGACTGCTAGCAACAAGTCAGGAGTGTTATTTGTTTTTTGTCTTGTAGTCAACTTTTTGGCTTGATTTGGTTTCTTACTTTTGTCTGCCAGGCAAGAGAGCTACAGGAAAAGGAAGAAAGATTTACAAAGTTAGAGGAAGAGGAGAAAAGAGTAAAAGAGGAACAGGAACGAATTCAGCAAGAGGTAACAATCACAGAAAAAAAAAATTGCTAACTAAATTATTGATGTTTCCAATCTAGTGCCTGCCTTGTTTCTCCTAAGTCTAGGGTTTTTAGAATAGTGAATATCACTGAAAATGGAAGGTCAAGTGTTAATGTTTGACTGAGTCATGCATGCAGCTTGTTCACTTCATTGAAGTTGGATTGTTTCCTTCAAGAAAGTTTCATACTTTGGCCAAACCACTCAATAGATTAAGGTGGTTTTGTCAGAGGGAACATTCAGTTACCTAGGTAACCACTATTGGAAAACATTTTGGCATCAGAAATCTTTCATATCTGAAGGGAAAAGTAGACTATGAGTAGTCCCCCATTTTCCCTCAGGGATAGTAGAGCGAGCAAAACGCGAGCATGCGTGAAAATCACCCCCATGAGGAAAGGCGGCACGGGGCGGGGAGACAAAAAATGAGGGACTACAGACAAAGCCCTAGCTTTTGAACTAATGCGTTGCTCTCACAACGCAAAACTCTGATTGGCTGTTCCATGAAAATACTGCAACATCTGTCAAGAACGCGCCAGCCGCTATCAACACTTGACATAATCACAATTTACAGAACAAATAACAGCACAGAACAAATAACTAGAGTTGCTCTTGTAGAAGCAACTAAGCAGAAAGCTAAGCCAACCCGGCAACTGATGAGGTTCGTATGGAGAACCAAAACCATGGTCTTGCCTGATCACAAAGTGGGAATAACAAAACATTTGCAAGGCTGTTAAGCTAATTCATAAGTTATCACCAAGGGAGGAACTACATGCTCCAGTCCAAAGACTCGCATTATCTCCAGGAAAACAAGCGGCAGTTAAAATTCATGAGAAGTCATGACTGAGTCGCATCGCAATTCTCCATAGTTAATGTAGTTTTAGTTTAAGCTAGAATCCATTCTTCGAGATTTGGATATCGCTATCCATCCTGCTAAAAACGCTAACGAATTGGGCCCAGCCTGACAAAACATTGCAGGAAACCGTCACATTCACGGCCAAAAAGAAAATAGCTTAAAATTATTCAGATCCAGGAGGCAATCGCCGGACAAATTAAACAACCCAAAACCTTTGTTTAGCCGCATTGAAGAGCTTTACTTTTCAAAAGAGGTCAAAGAAAATTCTCTTGCATCAGAGGCCAAATCATGCCGACCATAAACAATTAACCGCAGAAAATTAATATGTGTGTCACAACCTCTCAGTATGAAGTAAGCGGCAAAAATCACATTTGCTCAGTCAAAACGTTTTCCTCCAGAGCATAATATACCCGTCAGAGAAAAAAAAATTCATTGGAACGAGCAGCATTTTGGCATGAGTAAAAGTCATGTGTTGCCTACACTATCAAGTTCTTCACGCGAAACAGCCGTGAAGAAAATTAGTATCTGGGTTTTCTTTTGCTTGTATTAAATATCCCCTGCAGTTTACCGATGACAAGAGCAATGACAGCTCAGTAAGGGAAGGAATCCCATTGGATGCGCTTAATGGATTTGGAAAGGGATACGAACTTCACACTCCAAAATCAGTCGGCCGTGAAGGGTCAAAAGCCTGGGCTTTGTCTGTAGTCCCTCATTTTTCTCTCTCCCCGCTGTGTGTCGCCTTTTCTTGCGTGGGATGATTTTCATGTGCGCTTGCGTTTTGCTCGCTCTACTATCCCTGAGGAAAAATGGGGGACTACTCGTAGTCTATGGGAAAAGGTCAAGGGTGTTTATTTTGTTGGGCCAAATTATTACAGATGATTGATTGGTAGCTAGGCAATCATCTAGAGAATTTTAGAAGTGCAAACATTAACAAGGAAAAGAACTGTTTCAAGTTTTGCTGAATTTATGAGATTGACGAGAGGATTTCAGGAAAATCACAGTGGGATGTGTTGTTTATCCTTTTTTAAAATGTTGTTTATTAGCTTGAGGCACAAATAGAAGAGAACAAGAAACTTCAGGAGCAAGCCACTGCATTGCAAGAACAGGTTATGGTGCAGGAGAAAGTTGAAATGGAAGAACAGCAGACATCCCTGGAAGCTGAGCTCACCATTGAAAATATACAAGGGGACAGGTCAGAAGAGGATCGACTGACAGAGGCGGAAAAGAATGAACGCCAGAGAAAGATGCTTCTGGTATGATACATGAACTATGCAAATTCAGTGTCATGTCAAGTGTCATATATAGAGTTTTTCCTTGCCCCTTCTCAGGGTGTGAAAAGGGTCTTGTCTGGTCTTCCAGGGCAATTAGATTTTCTTGGTGGGCAAATAGCTTTTAAAGCTTACTTGCCCAAAGGCCGAAGGTCCAGGCAAACAAAATCATTAGCTAAGTAAGAAAAGCAATTGGTGGCCCCAGGCAAGCAAACTGGGAAAGCTGCTTGGTCAAACGACAAGCTGGAATTCACTTTTTGTTTTCAAGCTCTGCTTCTACAGCATTCCCATCGAGATTTGGTATGGTTTTCAGTATGGAATTTTAGGGTATTGTGTGGATCGGTGAAACTGCCAAGACTTATACACTCTACCTTTTGAAGTCTACAAGTTTTGGTTAATTAACTCCTTGTTATCTCGCTAAAAATGAACCAAATTCCCCCTCATTTTTTAAAAACAATTATATCTTCGCAGGTATTTAGAGCAGCTTAAAAACCTATACCTCTTTTGAAAGGGCAAAAGATAATCTTTCAGGAAAAAAAATTCACGTTCTGAAACACATAATATTTCACACAAAAAATAGCAAGATTGGGTGAATACTAATTTGCATACCAGAATTTGACACCTGGAGTAAATAGCTGTAGTTTTCAAATGTTAATATCTTTTCTTGTAGCAACTGCAAGAAGATTTGCAGAAAGAAGAGAAGAACTATTCTAGTTATGATAAGCTTCATATGCAAAACCAGAAGGAAGGACGAGACAAGTACAAAACCCTTAAACAGATAAGACAAGGGAACACTAAACAGAGAGTTGACGAGTTTGAAGCTATGTAAAAACATTATTAGGGAATGCCATGGCAAACAAAGGTGAGAGTCTTTATCTTGTCACTTCCTAAGATTATTTATGGCTGGAGTAAAGTAATTATACCAATAGCATTGTAAGGACTGTTGGCCAGAATAGTTGGTACTAGACTTGGCTGACATCTACAGTGTAAAAATTGTACAGCCATCTCCTTTTACCAAAATTAATTAAAGGTTTAGAATCTAAAGAAACGTACGTGGTACATCAGTTTAGACGTAAAAACTGACAATTTGAGTGCCAACCCTTAGAGCAATAGGCCATACTTGGCTCTAAGGCTAGGTGAAGGGAATATGGCACTAGTATTCAGGGTTGAATATTGTTCATTTCCCCTTGGCCCCAGATATAAATGTTGGGTATTGATTTTGTTAGTTTGAAACTGGCCATGGCTGGCAGTTGTTACCACTCCCCTTTATAGTGGCCTGTTCTCCTTCAGTTATGAATTTCTCTACTTTGGAGACATTTTACAGAATTATCAGTTTTCAAATCAGTTGTGGCTGCACAGAAGCTGTACATGCTGAAATTTGCATGCATTAGCAAACCCTACTCTTTAGCCAATAGGTACAGTCGAACCGCCCCTTACAGACAACTTTCTATGGCGTCCTCACTGTCCGGGGTATGAACAAAATGCTCTTATGTGCAGAAATGCATGCAGTGGCGAAAATTGCAAATCTAGCAAAAATTCACCAGAGGGTTGGCAAAAATTCAAATGTGACCTTAGCAGGTGCTACTAGTAAAGTTGCGAATTGACGAAAATTGCAAAAAGGGTGGTCATTTGCCAGAGGGGTGGTGAAAATGCAAATGAGATGTCAAAAGGTGCCTCTTGTAAAGTTGCGGATTTGATGAAAATGGCGAATTTGACACAAATGGCAAATTTGGGGAACAGTTGTACGTCCTGAACGTCAACAATAACAAGTGGAAGTAGATCTTTTCTCTCTTTTACTGGTGTGACTCAATAACATAACAATACAGGAGCTATAAACTAAAATTTGGTTGTGTGCAACTGAAGCGTTTCATCAAAATCAGAAGAAAACTTCGCCTTCCAGTCTTGACGACCAAGACGTTAGCGTTCTCGTTGCTCGTCAACAGGGACTTTAAGATTCAACGACCCGGACGGCAACGAGAACGTCCAAAAAACAAAAGGTTTTATAAGCAAAACAACAACTTTGTACGTGTATCACGCTTTTTTGTACATTTCTTAGCCCGTTTTTGCACGACTACAACGTGAAAATGCCTAATTTCGCGTTTTATGGAAGATATAAACAAGCAACGACGAAATTTTATTTCTCTTTTTGAACTTGGATATTGGCCCTAGGATTTCAATTCCATGAGGGTTCGCCTACATTTGACAAAGTGAGTGGGTAGGAATAATTGCTATAAAGACTGAAAGAACGCAAATTCACTTTTTAAGCAACGTTCTCGTTGACGTCGCGTCGTTGGATCTTAAAGTCCCTAATATCTCAAAATGTTGTCCTCCTCTCACTTTTTAGTTTTTCCATACATCTGCAATGTGTTACTGTTGTGTAATTTCTCAACTTTTTCTCATTTTTTTTTTGTCTTATTCTTCCACCTCAGTTAGTGTTATTTGTATCCTTAGACGAGGAACTTTACTCCACTTTGTCTCTCTTGACCCAGGTGTCTAAATGGGTACCAGCCACATACTCCTGGGGGGTAAACCTACGATGGACTACCATCCCGTTAAGGGGGAGTAGCAATACTCCTGGGCGTACTTCATGCCAAGGAAACTGGGATAAGGTCCAGCCATTTATGCCTTTGCTTTTGTTACCTTTATCAGTAGTGGCAGAGTACCTTGTATGATTCATGCATTCTTTTTTTGCCTTTTTTAGATGCTGATACTGTGTCTTTGATATGGGACCATGTCAGTTAGCGTGAATGAGCTGCTGCATTCACTGCTTACTACACTGTTATCCGCTATGGGAACATGATTATTTTGCACATTCGAAAATTTGATATGAGCATGTTATTATTAATTAATTATTAGATTTTGTAAGGTTAGGGTATAATAAACGTAAGAAGATTTTGAATATAAGCACTGCTTATTATCATAGTTACAAAACTTTGGACACTATAATCTCTCCTGAAAGTAACCCCGGTTGTAAGAGACAAATCCTTTCAGTTATAAAAAAAACAGTACAAGGTGTTTTTAATCAATGGACAGTATATTAAAGACCATTTGTACTGTGGAAAGTAAGCACGCTGCCCATTTTATTTGGTTTTGCAATGTTTTTTTTTTCTTTTAGTTACTTAAAATGCATAGAAAAAATTCCCGTTAGTATAAGTGAATTAACAGGAGTGCGGAGCTTGTATTCGAAATTGTACATTTTGTGTATTCCTGGTTCTTTTCTGGTCCTATTCCATAGTCTTGAGGCCGTTAAATGGACCTTTGAAATCTCCCTTGATTCTATACCCATGACATAAGTTTGGTAGGACCAGTGTCAACTTCAGTTTTGAATTGTGATTTGCCTCAGTTGATACAAGGTAGATAATTATTTTGTTGATGTAATTCTAAAGTTTACTAAATCTCTTATTATACTATGTATTTCAAAAGTCTTGATTCCTAATGTCACAGGCAAGTCAAAAGAAATGAGCAGACGACCTGTAGTTTCATGCAGGTTTTGCCGTTGTTATATTATAATCACATTTTGTTAGTAAATAGTTAGAAGCTATTTTTCTGCATTGGTATAATAAAACAAAGCCCTTTCTCACGGACTGGAGAACTACCTTAGTCTTGGCTTCATGGTAAAGGTAATAGACCTTAATAAAATGGAAAAAACTGATCACACTCACAATCTGCCTCTTTATTTATACTAAGTATTTAAAGCTTCAAGATAATTCTCGCAGCTCTACAATGCAGTGCTTCTAATGCCTTAAAACCTTCCTTATTTGTGAGGCCTCCCCATACTGATATACCATATACGATCGACGGCATAATAACTCTAAAATACAAGTCTAATAACATATTCTTTGGAAGAAATTTACTACGTTTTAACAAGTTTAACTTTTCAACAAAGCCTTTTTTAACAACACTAAGATGTTTAGACCAGTTTAGTTGATCATCTATCAATACGCCTAATAGACGAGAGTGTGTAACCCATTTGATGGTGTGCTGGGCCAACGTTAACTCTTTCAATGGGCCAGTGAATCTTCCACGATGGAGGATCATTGCTTCGCATTTCTTTGGATGAGGCACAAGGGAGTTTGTTTTGCACCAGTATAGAAGCTCTTCCAAAGCTTTGTTAAGTTCAGAAATTACTGCGTCTATAGAATCGCCAATGCAATATAGGGTAGTATCATCAGCATACATGTAGGTTGTCGCAGTGGTTATAGCTTCAGGTAAATCACTTGTGTAGACAGAAAATAAGGTCGGTCCTAGAACAGAACCCTGCGGTATTCCAGATTTAACAGTGTCAAGATCCGATGCTATACCATTTTGGCCAGTATAACACCTCCTCCTCTGCATTTAGTTCTGTCACGTCAGATAAGTTGGAGACCGTCTATTTGCAAGAAGTTATCAGGAACAGAAGAGTCCAGATGGGTCTCAGAAATTCCCAAAATGTCAAATCCACATATCCTCTGCAGGAGTCTTAATTCGTCGATCTTATATCGAAGGCTACAAATGTTCAAGTGTGCAACTCTTAGATCTTTGAATGAATAGTTCAAGATCTTTGAGAGGTTCTCAAGGTAATCTTCGGAAGCTAATGTCTGTTGAGAAGCCGGTTCAGTACAAGAATCATCACCATGAGAAGTAAAGGAGCCATCGCTGGGGTCTAAATTGCTGATGTCAGCAAAAGGTAAAGTTCTTAGGGTAGATATACAAGATGGACAATTTAACTCCTTTGCAGAGTTTGTCCCTTTAAAGTTTTTATAAACAGTCTTGACCAAGTAAATTGGTCTATGAAAAAGGTGAAAGGTTAATTGGCTAGTTACCGAGATCATCACGCTACAGTTACCACTAGGGAAAGTTTTCGACGTCTTGAAGTGTTTTATGTATATTTTATAATGCAGTCAAAATGTAACTTTTTTTAGAAATAGCGGTATTGTGTAGTAGTCGAGTGAGATTTGGCGGCGAAGCCGTCACGAGCAGCGTAAGCCGTAGCCTCCCCTGCAGGCGTTTTTAGGGAAGAAATACGATCTCCCCTAAAATCGCCTGTGGGGGAGGCTACGTAAGCCGCGAGATTCAAACGCCTCGTCCCCACTCCCTTTAATCGCGCACTACCACCATCTACGCAGGCTAGAAGTAACTTTACATCTTCAAGGCCTTTTAAAAATATTTGCACCAATGTGCCCCCAAAACAATTTGGATTTTAAAAGTAAAGAGAATAGAAACAAATGTAAGTTTTGGCGACATGAGAACCTATAAAGACAAACCGGCGAAGTAAACTTATGAAGGTTGAAAAGCCCCGTCATACCCAGACTGCCCCTGAGTCTCCGAGGATGCGGCACACCCTGTCCCAGAGGTTCTTTTAGGATTTTTTTGCTTCCGATTCGTTTTCACCTCTTCCTGAGAAAACAGCCGACATTTCGAGACGTCACCGGCTATTTCCCCGCAAATCGACGTCTGAGCGACGAGCGCAAGAAATTCCATGCCGATTTCCCTTCACTAACCAGATCTGGGTAGCGCTTAGAAGGTTGCTTAATCCAATCAGGAGCACTATTCAGATCTGGGTTGTGTCACTGCCACCGGTGGGGTAGCCTCTCACGCAGGCGTTTTTAGGACAGCTCGTTTTTCATGTGGGGAGGCATGGAAAACGAGCTCCCCTAATAACGCCTTCGTGGTAGGCTACCTCACCGGTGGCGTCGCCAAATATGGGCTGTTGTCTCGGGCTTCTCTCAGCGCGGCTCGTTCTCTCTCACGCGGAAAAAAATTTCAAGAAAAACATTCAAGACCAGGGAAGACCCGTCAACACGTATCCGGATATTTTTTAAAAACAGAGATTTTTTCCTCAATATTAGCCTTTCGTCCAGCCTAGTCCCTAGGCGTTCTCTCTTGACCCTTTTTTCCGCGCGAAGTGTGACGTCACAGTTCACGGTAGAGTCCATGATTGACCTCGCCGAGAACGTCAGGGGCTATGCTGCCTTTCGTTTGTTCGTCTACACACATATTCTCGTTCTTAGAGCCTCCTGGGGGCCTGAGCACGAGGACCAGGAAGCTCTGCCTGGGGGACGATGGGGGACGGAGGATTTGGAGTCCTGGACTTTTAGGACTTCCGGTCATTTCTGATTTGTCTACAACATTTCTAATAGCGTTTACTTGCTCTTGCCGAATTGTCAATGACTGCAAATTTAGGTGATTCAAAGCTTTTAAAAGAGGATCCTCCAAGTTACTTTTGAATCGGAAACGAGCGGAAGTCCTAAAATCTAGGACTTCAAATCCTCTGTCCCAGAGTCTCCTGGTCCTCATGCTCAGGCCCCCAGGAGGATCCGGGGCCGAGAATGCAGCACAAAAAAGGCGTTTGGGGTCACCAAAAACACAGGTTTTTTGGAAACGGTCATCTGAGTGCATATTTTTGAAAACGCCGGATTGTCGTTTTTCGTGTGGACGAACGAATTTCGAAATATGAGTCGTACATAATATGGGGGACGCTATCATCAGGAGCCCTAACGTTGTAACCTGTGAACAGTCCTTCGGTCGAGGGGCGAACTCTTTCCCCAAACAGAGAGCCTGTTCACAGGCTACGACACTGTCGTATTTGCAACGTTTTAGCGTTTTACATAGTCTCCCTTGCAGCCGTTTTTTGGATGTCACGTAGCGTGACATCCAAAAAGGCGGCTTCGAGGGAGACTACTTTTTCGAGGGATGCGCAAAAACGATTTGAATACGCTACGTGTTGATGAGTATTTTTTTGAAAACGGAGAAAAAAAATCTCCGTTTTCAAAAATATCCGGAAAATACCCCGAACCCAGTGAACCTGTGAAGAGAAGCGAGGGCGGCGAGAGCGCGCCCTGGGTGCCCAGCAATTTCCCCACCGGGGTAGGGTAACTAAACATTTTGTACTGTAGACCTCAGTCCTCCTCTTGTGTGTTGCATCATCCGTCGCCATTTTATCAATGGATTTGTGAAAAAAGCTGGAAGGAAAATCTCAGTGTTCTGGTTTAATTTATCATAAGGGGCCACTTAGCAATGGCTACAGACAGTGTTTCTTCACAAATTACCATAGGACAACCGCATTTGGCCAAGCAGGATATATCTAAATTGGTAAATAAGAAATTTTATGGCGACTTGTTCAATCACGTGTTGTTTCTCCAATATGGCGGAACCGTGAGTTTTTTATTGTAGTTGGTTATAATATGTCCGTTTTCTGTGTTAGGATATATCAGAGTTAAATCCTCTCACTCCGGAGGTTATAAGTCGACAGGCAACCATAAATATAGGTGAGTTCAGTGAATTTGTTTCACAGCGATGATAGAATGGATAGATGTCACCATCAATTTCCACTCTTTCTCAGTTTGTTGCTATACTTTGGTATTAACGGATGGTTGGAATAATATTTTCAGGAACAATTGGTCATGTGGCCCACGGAAAATCGACTGTTGTCAAAGCTTTGTCAGGAGTACAGGTGGGCAATAAAGGTCGCATTTTTCAGCAACAAATAATAAATAATATATTTGAAGAAGAAATAATCAAGACATAATAAAAGCTGCTGAAGCTAAACTACATAATACAAGACCATCTTAAATCATCCACTTATCCTGCATATCAAATGGCCAATTGTTAGCTATTATATATAGGTCAGACCACCCTTAAGTCCGTGAGTTAGTTGAGAAAGTCGGAACAAGTGCAAGAAAAGGGTGAAAGCGCAAGGGTGAGGGGTAACTGGAACAAAAACGCCCTCAAAAGTTGTGTGCCAAACATTGATTATAATTGATCATGGATTGAAAACTTAAAGCGACCCAGTAATCGATTATGGAAAATTAATTGGTTATTGGGATGAAAAAGAAATTCTGGTTGGCAAATAAACCTAAAACCAGATAGAGATTTATCTAATGGATAGCGTTAATCGCTTTTTGAACAACTGGGGTTAGAGCTGTATAAAATGTAGGTTTAGGCAAAATAATACCAGCTTAAGTTTAAAATTAATTGAGAAAGTATGGGAAGTACTTGCACAGGGGATGCATTATGCCAGTACAGTCTCTAGCAGGCTGTAATTCTGGTAGCTTTCTCAATTTTCATTATTTTACAAGACAAACCATAAAATGGTCATTCTTTTCCTCTCATCAGACTGTCAGATTCAAGAATGAACTGGAGCGAAATATCACTATCAAGCTAGGTTATGCAAATGCTAAGGTAAGTCTGTGCTAAAAATCTCTTGAGGGCTACTGGGCCCCAACATTGGGCATGGCTTGGACCTCAGAAGATCATTGTCACCAGAGTGTTCATTAGGCATCGGAGTTGGAAGAATTCCACGTTTACTGTGCAGATTTCTCTGTCTAATGTTGGATAGCCTATGACTTGTTTTTTTATTCAGACATGGAGCCTCTTAAGAGATATTCTCTTGTAGCGTTACACCTTTCTCCTGTGACTGGAATTCTTAATGAAAACCCTGTGTAACTCTGTGCTACAAAATGTGCCCCCAGATTGGCCAATGCTCTTTGTTTTAGTAATCAGGATGTTTAACTGGGTAGGCATGTGTGCAATACCTAACTTAGAAGGGCATGGCTGTTTCTTTTACACCTTAAGGGGGTCTTTCATGTTAAGTATCCCACACTTCTTTGTTGTTTAAATAAAAACTAAGAGAATTCTTGTGATACTACCCCCTTTACGATGGCTGATGTGTGTGTTTTGTAGATTTACAAGTGTGATGGCAGTTCCTGTCCCAGGCCTAGCTGCTATCGTTCTGCTGGTAGCGCCAGAGAAGATGTGATTCCATGTGACAGAATGGGATGTAATGGCAAGTTCAGACTTGTTAGGTAAGGAAACCTGTGTCCAGACAGATTCAACTAATCTGATTTCAAGATACATGTAGTGGATAAGTATTCAAGCAATGATAGAGAGAGAGAGAGTAAGAATTGTGTTTAAAGCAGTTAAACTCATCAACAATAGATGAGGCACCTGAAAGGGAGGGAAGGGTGGGGAAGAAATGAGCACAAGGCAGTTAAGCTGCAAAACGCTTTTTAATTTGTTGTGCAATGAAACTCGACAATTTCATTCCTAAAGTCTTTAAGCCCTTTGACTTACCTGAACTTTCCCCACAGAATGTGAGCCGCTACAATAGAAACTGCTGGCCAGCATTTTACATTTTAAGCTTAACTTTGCCTAAATTGCATTTAGCCACATTTAAAACAGCAAGGATATTGAGTGAAGGGACTGTTACTTGCTGGTGTTCTCAGGGACCAGCAAAATCACTGTCTAGTTGTAAAGAAAGCACCAGCTACTCACAGAAAATAATTTTTGAGTGAGATTATCATGATAAATTTGTTGAACTTATCTCATAAAACATTTGTTTTGTTCAAGAAGAAAAACAAACATGATATGATATAAAGCAAATGAAGATAAGTACTTAGTATGTTTGTTACACTGTAAATGATTTGTTTTCAGGCATGTGTCATTTGTGGACTGTCCTGGTCACGACATTCTTATGGCAACCATGCTGAACGGTGCAGCTGTTATGGATGCTGCTCTTTTACTTGTAGGTTAGTATTGTTGTAGAGAGTTGGTAAAGATAATCTATCAACACCACTGAAAAAAGCACCTTGGTATCAGTAAAGTTGCAAAGTTTGAGAGTCATAGGTTGGGAACTTGCAAAGATGTGGCATCACAAAGTCATGGAACTTTACTGGTGTTCCTTGACAGGGCATGATTTTGTTCCCCACATTTACAAAAAATTAATAATAGTGTTGGTCGAAGTTTCACAATTTTGCAGAGCTGTCTGTAACTTTGCTTATTAATTTAAGAGATACCACTATTATACTACATAAATTTGCTATTATTTTAAGGTGCCCTTTCTAGCACTTTCATTGGATTTTCTCTCTAACAGGTTGTTGTCAGAGGTAAAACAGTCCCATACTTGATGATCTTTAAACTAAAATTTGCATGTAATCAATCAACATTCTAAAGCTAGTTATGCCTATTTTGTGGCAATATTACTTCTAATTTTGTGATCTGAGATGGATAATTTTGTGGAAATGAGGCCTTCTACATGCAAACAGTTTTGTCTCTACTAAAGATGAAAGCTAATGCTCAAAAGTTGGTAATTAGTTTTGCTTGCATAAGCAGCGAGACTCAAAATCTGCAACCCATTTTTCTTCGTATTTATGACACAAAAGGGGAGTCATTGCACCAGACGTTCCTAGAGGAGACTGTGGAAACTGGGAATAAGAATTGTTGCGTGACCGAAGCCATGCATGTTTTGCAAAGAAAGCTTGAGAAAGATTAAATTTAGAGTTTTTCCAAAACATGTCGGTTCACAAATTCTATCGCTTGAAAGCGTTGATTACTTTCAAACAAGTGAACACTATTGAGTGGTTGAAACAAAAATAAGTGTTATAAACTTTCATTGTATGTAACAGGATCTTGTGATGAGTATGCGATTTATTTTCAGCCATGATTGAAATGACCTGCCATGTAAATCACTTTTTTAATCTCCGGCAATGAAGTAATTTCTCTGCAATCAAGGCCGTTTAATTTTTGTGTATTTCTACACACGTAAAGCCTGTGACTGCAGATGTATTTCCGGTTGTTGCTAACACGCGTACTATATCAATTCAGAAACAAATAAATAGTAATATCGTGAAGAATACTTGATGTCGATAAAGTAGGAAGTAAAAAGTTTAAACCTTTAGCGAGTAATTCCTGTTTCATGTAGAATTAATGACCTCCTCATTTCTCAATCTAATCTCCAAGCAAGCGAGATGGACCACCGCTGTAAGAGCTTTCTTGTTTTAGAGTGCTCTCAGAAATGAGCAAAACATCAAGGGGATATATTTGACCAGAGAATTTCAGTAATATTATTTTTTGATTTTTTTTCATTAAGGCCACTTGCCATCTGGGTGGGTAAAGTGTGTATTGGACTTGACCAGATTTTGTTTTCATTTATCCACAAGGGATAGTCAAAACAATGCAAAGAAAATTAAATTTGTATAATTGTACTTACACTTAACAAATTAAAACATTTTCAAAGGCAAAAAGCAGGTTTTGACATCCAGCTTTTGAGATTGATTTGTTTTTTCAAAAAATTCTCACACTTCAGGGACATGTTTTGAAAAGTAATCTTCATTTGGTTTTTATCTCTTTATTAACATTCCACTAAAGATGCACCACTGTTTCTTTTGTTAATTGGACATTTCCACTGTGCCCACAATTTATTCTTATAAATTTTCCTTTCTTTGTAGCTGGAAATGAATCTTGTCCTCAGCCACAAACCTCTGAACATCTGGCAGCCATTGAAATAATGAAGCTCAAACATATAATTATTCTACAAAACAAGATAGACCTGGTCAAAGAGAGCCAAGCAAAAGAACAGTATGATCAGATCCTCAAGTTTGTGCAAGGTGATAAAATAGCTTGAATCTGCTCATTCTTAATCTTACACTTCAAGTAACACAAACTGAAAGTATCGAGATTCCCAATTTTTTCTGTTGCAAGGGTTTAAGTTGATGGGCATAGGATATCATTGACATAATTATTCGCAAGTTAGTTTAGAACAAATCTCAACAACTTCATAACGTATCATGGGTTTGAAAGGGTCAACATTCTTTCTATATAACTATTAACTGCTTCCCATAAATCCTCAGTTTAACCACCCCACTTTCCAGGGTTAGAAAGCTATTTGTTTTTTTCCATGTTTTGCGTAAGCACAAGCTACAACCAGTTGCAAAATTACTTAAGACACTGTACCATATTTTGGCTTAAATGGCCTGCCCATGATCTTGTGCTAGTGATCCCCCCTCCACTCCTGATTAAAGTTGCTAACAATACAAGACCATGCTCAAAACTTGGAGGAACAACTCTGAGTTATAATGAAATACATACAGCAAACAGAGATGAAACCATGGGTAAAGTGGTCACTTAAGTGAGGTTAAAAACATGAGAAATTATAAAACCATCACTGCAAGATGTGGACTAAGGGTTGCTTAGTATGTGTAATCAAATGGTGACGAGTGAAATTAGGGAATAATTTCACACGCGTTTTGTCCAAATCCTAATAATTTCCCTCGCCTAAAGGCTCCGGAAATTATAAGGATTTGGACAAAACGCGCATGAAATTATTCCCTAATTTCATGAGTATACCATTTGATTACCTATTAATATCATGGGTGACGAATTACCCTAACAATTAAGGATTTTTGACTTGTTTATCCTGGATCGTATCGATCGATCGTGAACTCCACTCTCTCAAACGTTTAGAGCTGAAATTTGGCTTAAGTTTTCAGAACTTTTCGACAATATACCTCTAAGAATCCTTCTTGATGTGCTCTTTCGTGTGTTCAGGTTTTCTAAAGTGTCTTTTTATGCCCTGACATCTTCATTCATGACATTTTAAAACTTCGTCGCCATCTTGAAACAGAGACGTATGGCAGGATGCTATGGCAATTTAGTAATTTCACTTAGTAATTTCACATGTGAAATTAGAAATTAACGCTGAAATTTCGCGCCAAAATTAAGGAGTAATTCGTCACCTATGATATTACAAGAGAAATTTACTAGAGGTTCTAACTGTAGTGATTGACCAGGAAATTTTTTGGTACTACATTCAACTGAATATTTGTTTCTTTCCCTAGGCACAATTGCTGAGGGAGCTCCTGTTGTTCCAATTTCAGCTCAGCTGAAATACAACATTGAAGTTATTTGTGAATTTATCTGCAAAAAGATTCCAGTTCCTGTCAGAGATTTTAAATCCAGTGCTAGACTTATAGGTAGGTATTTCCACTGGGTATTCTAAGATAATTTAAAACAAGCAGTACCTGGTGAAAGCACTTGATACCTTTTATTATTATTATTATTTGTGTGATCTCATCTGTCTACTAAGTGTTACAATCAGTCCATAACCATAAGAAAAAGAACTGCTAAATTGTGTATTCCTCATGTTTGAAGTTCAGTGTGATTATGACTGCTCCTAGGATTTCGTACACTAATGCTTTGTTGGAAGTTAGAGCATTTAATCGGAGTCCATTTCTATTTAAATTGATAGACGTAAGCCTGAAATTATGGTTACTGTAGTAAGAGCAAAGTCTATAAACCCAATATAATACAATACCCTGAAAATGTTAAACGGAGTGTGGGGGGGGATTAAACTAAAGGTTTAAACTATTGAACAGTTGAACAGGAACTGTAAACGGATAGCTAGACATGCAAAACTGGACAAAATAACAATTATAGGAGTTAAAAAAGGAGCTTATATGTCAGAGATTTTAGGGTGTATGTAGGTAGCTGATACTTCTTGTGGTGCAGATATTGATGTTAAGTAACCCACTTTTGAAGTAATGTTGGTTAATTGTTTGTTGTGTAGTTATCAGATCTTTTGATGTAAACAAACCTGGTTGTGAAGTAGAAGAACTCAAAGGAGGAGTTGCTGGAGGAAGTATATTATGTGGTGTCCTGAAGGTATGTCTTACCATGCTGTGGTAACAGCTCCTACACATGTCCAAGATCTTGTTTGTTTAATTCTACTTTTGTCGTAGTTTTAGACTCCAGGCATGAATAATACATTGGTATTTTGTTTTTGTCATTATTAATTCGGCGGAGCGCGAAGTAAAGGTTTCGCGATGCTCAGGAATGTATCAAAGTTACAATTTTTTGACAAGATTGGGCATGCAAAGTCTGTAGGTTTTCGGTTTTATTCGGCTATTTGACGAAGTGAGAGCCGAATTAATTCGAGATATCTCGAGATCACTTCGATTTCTTTGATTCATTCTTTAACTTTTTCGAGGAAGAAAGAATTATTATTTTGGCTTTCCCGGGGTTTGAACCGACTCACCTGTGTGACGCGTCAGATCAGAGGAGACTCTAAGTTGAGGGATTAGCCGACTGCGCTACTGCGACCCAAGGTAGTTTGGAATATGAAAAATAGTTATGAAATGATGCACTAGTTTCGGGACAAGATTGGGCGTGCAAGTTCGTGACTTTTCGGCTTGTTTCAACTATTTCACAAAATGAGACCGGACTTCTTCGTGATATCTTGAGATCACTTCGAGTTTGGTCTTTAATTACTCGAGGAATAAATAGAGGATATTTCGTGGCCGCGCAGAGACACGAGAGTTCTCTTCGAGTGTTGAAGAACATTTCACGAGTGAGCCCTCCTTTCGAACTGTTTTATGATGAATTTAAAGTTACAAAATGCTGCAAAAAGTTTTTGGATTAGCCATGAATAATTAATTAGGGCATGTTTAGATTTCAGCATGAGTCAGCAGATTTGCATCAGTTACTGAAATCACAAAATACCGTATGTCGAAAAGCTATTACTATTCGCCTGCTGTTTAGTATTTTCTAGAACCTTATGTCAAACGGTATACAAGTTCCAAGCGAGTTCTTTTGAAGAACTAAGTTTTTTTCCCAAGAGCTGGACTGCTGTGTTTAGTCAAGTGTGACGAAGGTCGATTTTCAGGTATTGTGTTTACAAGTTCGCAGAAGTCGTAAGATACCTGAAGTTCAAGTAAGAGTTTGTTATTATTGGTAGAGGCTGTTTAGTTTTACTCAAAGTTCAAGTCAAGTTTGTGTTGGTGGATGCTGTGTTTTAAAGCTCTGTAAAGGCTATGTTCCTTTGGTGTTAAACTTCCTTGTGTTAATCCGACATCCCTGCGTGCTGATAGTCAGTGAATAATTATCCTCAAAACATTCGAACTCGTGACTTTGAGTTTTAGTCAATTCCATGCTCAACGTAATTGACTCCTTACCCATGCCTTACATATCTTTAATCAGTACATGAGACTGCTATGCTGTTCTTCAAGCCTGATGTGACTAAGAAAAATAGAGAATTGTTTTTTTAGAAGGATTTGTATGGAGTCATCAGAGCATAACTGGGCTAACATCTCGGAGACAATTTGTCCCGAAATGCTAGTTTTTGGCAAGTAGGCCTCGTGGATGTTGCTCTTTTCAGAATATCCTGACAAATCCCATAATTTCACAAATTAACACCTTACTCTTACCATATTTGATTTCTTACTATTCCTCCGCATTTACAATTAATTAGTTCCACAACCACGACGTCGAAGTGTACGCTCCGTAGCGTCTTGTCTATTTGTATGTATTATCACGAAGCACATTTTTTACATTTTTCATCCTTGAACCCATATGTAACATTTATTCTTTATTCATTGTCCATTTTTGATTCCTTCTCTTTTCACCAGTCTCCCTATCACCCTGTCAGATTTGCTTTCAGCAACTGAATATTCATCATTTCATCTTCATCTTCCCGGGTATTATTAAAAACCAAATTAGTGACCATTTCCCAGTTGGCTTACTAGCTCAGTTGGTCAGGCCGTGCTGCACTGTTATCACAGAGGTCACTAGGGTTCAAACCCCGGCAAGCCTGACTTTTTTCAGGCTTTCTTTTCGTAACTGCTGAAGTTGCATCTTTAACTGCGATGATCTTCTTTGCATTTATTTAAAGGCATTGTGCTTATTGAGTAGACCATAATTTGTGGAGGTACTTATTTTCGTCTAAGGGAAAATGACTTAATCACCTACAACCAAAATTTGGTTGACGAGTCAAATCTGTGAAACATAGTTCATAAGGTCATGATACTGAAAGCCTTTGATCGGTTTTATTCTTTTCACAGGTTAATCAAGAAATTGAAGTAAGACCTGGTATTGTATCCAAGGATAGTGAAGGAAAACTTCAGTGTCGTGCCATTTATTCTCGTATTGTATCATTGTTTGCTGAACAGAATGACCTTCAATTTGCTGTGCCTGGTGGACTTATCGGTAAGAGTCATAGCTGTTCCTCCCCCCCTCCAATTTCCAGTAGTTAAGGCAGTGTGTGTAGCTTATTGTCTCATAACCCAGATCTCTTGTCGACAAAGCCGAAGGTGAGATCTGGTCAAATCCGATTTGTGCTCGTCATCACCTGTCAGGAATGTGACAGGCGATAAAACAGCACGTGCTTGAAATAAATCCTCGAAATGGTGGCCGTGTTAAGCAACGACTTTGATAGAGCCGCAAGTTTCTAACTGACAAAATGTGGTTAAATGCACTGCTTAAAGCCCCATGCAAACGGACACAACATTGTTGGATGTTACATATTACATCCATTTGCACACCCTGTTGCATGTTGTTGCATGTTCTTGGAAGCTGTTTTGCAAAGTTTGAAACTGGTCAAACTTTTAGCTAGGTACAAAAGAACGCAACAACTCCCAACATTCTTGGCCAAAACTGTTGGGAGTTGTTGCATCCGTTTGCATCTAGCTTAAGTTGTTGTTGTTGTTGATTGTTTGTAACATCAAATTCAACAAGGCAGTAACTTTAAATTTTTGAGCTATCATAGTGCACACTCAAATGTCAAAGTAGTATGCCTCAACTTCGATGCAAAAGTTTTTTTACCATATCCTCTTCAAAAGTAATCTTAATACCGAGAGAAAATTTTAAGTCTTTTTGATAAAAAGGGTTTAGAGGCTATATTGAGGCTAATTGATGAAAAATATATATTTTTTGTGAACAAACTGAGGACTTCACAAAGAATGAATTGTACATGCCATAGCACGGGCAGATAACAACACTCACATCACTAGCTCACAATCTAGCCAATGATAATAATATATTATTAATAATAATTTATTATTTGTAAGGTGCAAAACAGCATTTAAATATGAGCAAATGCGCCAATCAGAAAAATTGAATTTTCTTATTTGACCAGATCTCGACTACAAGAGATCTGCATACAAGATTATGTACATGTAACTTAAAATAAGTAAGTTGTTAAAAGAGGATTTCATAGGTTTAGAGTTTTGAAACTCTCTACAAGATTGTGTAAGCATTGTTCTGGTACTGGTAGTTGGCATGTATAAAAGTACAACATATTTGCTGTGTTCTGTTCAATCTTCTCATTTGTAACTGTGCTTTTCATTGAAGGTGTTGGAACAAAGATTGATCCTACATTATGCAGAGCTGACAGGATGGTAGGACAGGTATTGAATGCATTTTTCGTATATTGCACACTTACACCAGCTGTTGCCCTCCACCACCAAAATTCCTCCCACTTGTCACTCATTCCTTCTCCATGAATGTCTACCTTATAAACCACCTTGTCTTTTATTTTCATGTGCTGCATGCAGTTAACTGATAACCAATAAGATATGGTTTTTTTCTTGTACATAAAAAAGTTGATGCCTTTAGTGAGGGTTTGTATTTGGTGGTTTCTTGACTAAGTGCCTGGCTTAGTTCTTCACAGTGACTCTTTAATAAGTGGTTTTCTCATTGTTTTTACCATTTGAAAGACAATAATTAGTATTGGAAACCACTGATAGATCAGAGATTAATTTTATTATTGCAAACAAACCATCCACCATCTTTCAAGACTGCAAGTATTTGCTGCTGCTGCTGCTGCTGCTGTAGGGTTCTTACCTGTTGTGACTTCGATATTTTGCTCATGGCAGGTACTGGGTGCTGTTGGTACACTTCCTGAGATTTACACAGAGTTGGAAATTAGTTACTTCTTGTTGAGAAGACTGCTGGGAGTTAGAACTGAGGGCGATAAAAAGGGAGCCAAGGTGAGCAACAGTGATGTCCACCTTGTCAACCATGTGTCAAATTGTGTGTAACTTTTAAATTGCTTTGTGTGAACACACCTGATATTTTGCAATGTTGCAGCAAGTAGTAAGAGTCTCGTCCTACACCAACATTACATGCATAGGTGTGACCCACATTCCGTATTAACATTTCATTTCAGACCTGCCCAAAGTCGACCTCTCGTAAGTTCTTGATCGAGAGGAGTCTCTAAAACCAGCCTTAATGAGGTCCCAGCTAGGACAAGTAATTAATTTAATAAAGTGGCCAACCAACCAGCAAAAAATTAACGACGTTGAGAAGGGAAGGTTGTCCGTCTTATGCATGCACACATACTTAGTGGTTCAATTTTATTCTTGGTGCAAATTTCATTTTCTTTTTCTTTCAATTTCGTTATTGTACACCAAGACCTGATGACCACACCCAAAACAGAGTAAATTAAAATTTACGCAAATTTACGCCAAGGATAAAGTTGAAGCACAACACTATAGGAACATACAATCAGATGTACAATTATAGAGGTTTGGTAGAATATTTTATTTTGTTAAAACAAAGAGATGTTTTTTATTTTGCAATCTATGATTTGTTTTTCAGGTGCAAAAATTATCCAAAAATGAAGTGTTGATGGTAAACATTGGTTCGTTGTCCACCGGCGGTCGTGTGTTAGCAGTCAAAGCAGATTTAGCAAAAATTGTACTCACTCAGCCAGTTTGTACAGAAACTGGTGAAAAAATTGCTCTCAGTAGGAGAGTTGAGAAACATTGGAGGTATGTGTATGTTTTGCTTTTGGGAGAACTGGCCTTTCAGGCCCCGTACACTCAAATACGGATATTTTTGAAACCGCATGCCATATTTTTTTAAGGAATCAGCTGCAGATGAATGAGCGCATTCACGGGCTTGGTGTGGACAAAAGGCTGATTCGTGTTAAAATGAGTATTTGTACGGTTTCAAAAGTATCTTGATTCTTATGGACTGGACCTTAATTGCTTTTGTGCAGTGCTGACTTACGCAGACAAAGAACGTCTGCGTGAGACTTGGCTTCTTTTGCTACAGTGTACAGTAGTGTGCCAATTGTCTCCATTCCAGAAAGGTGCTGTTATTACAGTTTAAGAAAGTTTCGTTTTTATTTGGGCATTAAGTTAAACATTTATAGTTGTTTTGCAAAGCATGACTACAGCTGAAAGTTTTGTTACGAGAGTAATTTTCTAGATTTTTCTTAGTGTGATTACATCTTAGAACCCCAAATGATAGTTGAAGTCTTGATGATCCTCTAGATGTGATCATCATCATCACTGATCACTGTTATTTTTATGACCACTGCAATCACATTTAACCATGGAGTGGTCATTTGTGGTACAGTCAACTCTCTCTAAGACAGACACCTTTGGGACCGGCACTAAGTGTCCGTCTTAGAGAGATGTCCGTCTTATAAAGAGTCAAATAAAAGGAGTAAAGAAAGGTAGGGACCAACTCTAAGTGTCTGTTTTACAGAGGTGTCTGTTAAGAGAGAGTCGACTTTATGCTGTAAAGCCCATAGAGCTGTAAATTCATAATTCAAATGTTTCTCGCGTACTTTGGATACGATTTGCAATGAATCACTTTCTAGGCAAATACAGCTCGTTAAACGTTTCTAGGATGTATTATATAATTATATTATTTTATTATGAGTGCAGTGGAATATGATGATAACCAAGAGACGGGCGGTCAGAAAAAAAGTTTGCAGTTTTGTGGACTTGGTGATGTTGATTGTCTCTTAGTTTCTGACACCGCGACTCATTTTTAGTATCATTCAATATCTAAATCTTATCATCGGTGCATTAACTGCTGGACATGTCTCCCCAATCATTTAAGAAAACCCATGCCACGCAAAATTTTTAAGTGGAACATAAAGACGGTTTAATTGCAAAGTATTTTTAGTTTGTTATGTTTTCATTTTAGCTTTTCAGTATTTTTATATTTGCGTAATAGCCAAGTCTTGAAGTTTGATTGTAATTAGTCAGTTTTAGTAATTTTGATATTGTTTATTTTAAGTGAGGACCTACCTTCAAACTTCTGTAATTTATATACAAAACCCCGCGTTTATTTTAACAGGATTTGTAATGTTTTCCTTGCATTACCCATTTTGTCTGAACGTTTTGCTGGTTTTCTTACAGGTTAATTGGATGGGGCCAGATACGACGCGGAGTAACCATTAAACCAGAGTCATAACATAGCGTGCCTAACATATCAGCGGCTATCCCGCTATTATCTCAAGATTCCAAGCTTTATTTGTGTGTCGTTACCAAGATGAAGTCTAATTTTCGCCGGATTTCAAGAGTGGCTCACAAAACGTGAAATTTTTTTCTTCGGATGCAACTCTTTTGTTTTAGACACTTCTCTGTGACGGAAGTCCTGACCTACATTTTCCTGTTTTTCTTGACCGGAAAGGATGTTCTTGAGAACAGCACGTTATTACTTTTTGATTCCATCCCAGCCCCTCCTCCCCACCCCCCGGCCAAAAAAAAGAAAAGGAAATACAGAAAACAAGAGCTCAGTAATTCCTTGTAATGTATTTTTAATACTATGACAAGTCAAGTATTCCCGAGAGAGAATGAGCGGCTTTGTAGTTACCCATTAGTGCAGCTTTAGTACTGACATGGCTATTCTTAGGCATGTTAATAGAACCTGGTCTAAGCACCGTTTTTGATTGGTCCAAAACAAATAGACATGTAACTTCGTGGTTAACAGATCCAAATATGTGGAATTTGTCTATTAGTTATCGCAAATAGAATCAAAAATAGACGTGTTGATCGCTAATCCTTTAATTGTATTAACTTCAGTAAGTTGTCAGTAACGCTAAACCGCTACATCTCAAATTCTCAACGTGAGTTAAAGAACACAGACCAGTCAAGAGAGGTGTACCATGGGGGCATAGAATAATAGCAGCGCTAGCACCCCCAAATACTGCGGGCATGATCTTTACAAGTCTTAAACATCATTCATTTCTGTTTGAAATGTTTTTTCTTGAGGACTCCAGGTAACCTATAAAAATACTCGGTATCAGAAGTCTTAACGAATACTCCGTTAGAAACAATTTTTGTTGCACCACTGCGGTCAAAACAAAGAATATTATTAAGATACATAAATATTTTAATAAAAGTCGTCTTGAATCCCAGCCACTCGCTTGGTTTCTAGCAGTCTACTGCTCACTTTCCTACTTCAAGTAAGTTTTCTGCCTCGCTTTTGTTAAAATTTAGAATGCAGTGCAGGAGACGTGACGCGGGCGAATGTCTAAACACAATCTATAATCATCTCGAAATTAACTACGGGCAAATCGGTAAATTTTATTCCCAAAACGTTGCACAAATCAGTTCCATTTAGGCTTCGATAGATTGTGCTTGCAAAAGTACCATAATATGCTACGAGGAGTTAGATCTAAAATTATGCCAATATTTATGATAGTTTTTGTAATTATGCTCGTTTTAGCCAAAAAAAATGTAGAATGTGTACTTTAAATTTGGTTAAAAACAATGCAACAGTCAAGTAGCGCAAACGGACGCCATCTTGGGTAACGGAGATAGTTTTTGGCATGCTAATCCCTGTGGAAGAGTCCTTGCCTGGTCCGTGTACGGCGTCTTCCCAGGCCTTCTCCGTCGATGCATTTCGGTGACGTTCGACGAGTTCGCTCAGACCACGTGACCCGCAGACCTCGGCAAACAGAGTCCATGGTCACTTCCTGTTGGACCCAGGTCCGATGACTGTGTTCATAAGCAGACACAAAAATTGAAGACTACAGTTGAACCGCCGTTAAGCGGCCACCCTTAGGGTACTGGCATATGGCCGCTGAATAATGAACATAGAGGTTCGTTGTACAGTGTAAATAAGCAAAATCTATTCGTAAGTTGAAGCATCACTTTCTTTTGAAAGAAGCACTCGATGGGAGGCGAGTGACACAATTGCGAATTACTGGTCCACAATCAGTCATCACCTCTTATCTCGGACTGTATTTTCCTTCATCATCAAATTAAGTCAACGTTGAGCACTTCTCCTAAACAACAACAACAACAAATTAAACAACAACAACAACAAATAAACAACAAACGCAACAACAAATTTTATGGAAAATTGGAAAATAACTTTTAACGAGATAGCTTATTCTCCTTATTGAGAAAATAACCACTACAATACAGTAAATAGGTTTAAACTAACAAAAACAAAAACAAAAAACAAGGTGGCCGCTCAATAGAGGGAGGTTTAAGGTCCTATTCTACAATTATTTCGGGACTTTGATTATGGGCCGCTTACTGTGTACGGGTGGTACGCTTACTGTACAAATCAGGACAGTTGATAGCCAATCAGGTTTGAGAATTTTGTTATTGTTATGTGCCAAAAATCATGCTGGCACAATCTATGAAATAATAGCAAATAGCAAACAATCTATGAATAATAGCCAATGCTCGATATATTAAAATGTGTTTTCTACCATGACTCCGAGGCTTTCTGGTCTTTTATCTGCATTTGTTTTGCCTCCTTTGTGCCCAAGTCTCCTCTGGGAATTGCGAGACAATGGAGTCGTGAAAAATTTGCAATTTTGCCCCTAAAGGCTCGGAGTCAAGTTAGAATTTTATCGAACGTGAGCTTTACGATCAGAATTTGACGTCGTTCAATGACTGGCGGCAAAGAAATGAAGATAAAAGCTGCACCTCTTGCTAAATAACCTATCTATTTTTACGTTTCCGTTGCTGTCTGCCTGTCTCCTTCATGATTAAGACTATTGAAGAGCGACGCACATAAATACAGTCGAGCCTTTGTCGAGCCAAATAGTCTACTGATTTTACCTTATAAGGTAAATGAAAGTAGATAAAGAAAACACTAGGGTCGTATTTCACCTTCATGCATCTGTTCAAAGATTACAGGAAGAGAATTCTGTCCAATAAAGAAAGCAGTTTTCGTTAATTCTATTAAATTCACACTTGGCTTCGAGGCTTGGGAACAAAACAAAAGAAACCACCTTGACGTGTTCAGGGATGAATATTACATTTCTTTTGTTTCATCCCGGAGCCTCGGAGCCGAGCATGAATTTTAATATTATCGAAGTTTCTTTGTCTTTTGCGGATATTCTAATCATAGCTCCCATTTTTTTTTTCGCCTTGGGGGATTGGAAACTTAATAGCTAGCGCGTGATGGTATTTCATCCTTTCCTGTACATCACCCTACAACCTTACAAGAGGGCTCTGGAACATTACCCTGATGTATTAACAGGATGGCCGTGTTTATAATCTCACTCCTTATACCGCAACCAGCCCTGAGATCGAGAAGATATAGAGTAACACATGAAACCAATGAATTACTGGCTTTCTAACTGAATCCTGTATCATACCTGTTTTCCTCTCCTTGAGGCCCACTCTTGAGGTCAAGAGACTGTGAAAGAAATAGAACAAACAAAAGGATCTTTCTTCTTCAACCGGATTCAACCTGTTTATCGGAGGGACTTTAAAAACAAAGATTTGCTGTTTTAAATAAATTTGTGCACATATGTATGTGATTTTTCTTTTAATATCATTGCTTCGTTCGCATAAAAAACCAACTGCTTAAGGTGTGCTTGAGAAGTTTGGTTTAGAGTTTTACGCTTGAACTCATTAGGTTACGATTTATTTAGCATACTTCTATTAATAGATTATTTGCTCGACTGAACATTTATGGAATTCATGTCTTCTGAATAAAATACAGATGCGAGTATGATTCAGTTTTATATTTGTCGTTGTGTAATTCAATGGACAATCATCTGAAAGGAAGAGTCGTGATGAATTATATTTACGTCATCGTGTCCTCTTCCGCCAATGCAAAACATATTGACTAAGACCCAACCATTACCACAAGTTTGATTGAAAGGCTTGAAAAGAGCTTGTCAGTCAAGATCAGATAATTGATCGAAAGCAAAACCTGCGTGATTGACTCTAGCCAATCATGTTCGACAAAATGTTTTCAATAATGCACGTAGGGTCAAAAACCAGACAAACAGGCGCCGGTTCAATAGCAAAGACAAAGGTTTCAACAAACAGGAAATTGACAAATCGCCACGCAAGCGCGTTTGATGTTTTTAACATTTTTTTGTAACCAAATAAGGCTATGACACTCTTGCATCATACTTTGCATTTAGCATGGCAGCTTTGCGACGATAAATGCCCTGTATGTTTTCACGTGCACATCACGTGAAAACAAAAGCTGTACACAAAGTCCGCTTGCTATTCAACATCGTCATTGGTATTTATTAAGATTTTTTTATTCAAATAATTAGAGAAGTGTCACGGGAAATATTTTTTCGGGTTTTAAACATACATTTCTGCACCAGAAGGAAAATGACCGATTTACTGTGTTGTGATGTTTTCAGTTACAGCCTCAAAATAAAAGGAACTGCTGTAAAACCATCGCTAAAGTTCTCCAGTGCGCTTTCTCATCCGTTTGCCTTCGCTGTCCAATTCGCTGTCTTTGGCAAGTCCTATCATAAAACAGGATTGGTCGCTGCAAACTTGTACTCTTCGTGAAATGATGAAAAACAGTGCAGGGGAAGTAGAAATTGTCTGCTCTCATTGTTCCAGAAGCTGTCTTCACTACGATGAGCATGAATGCGCGCGCATTGCTACCCGGTGGCTAACACCTAATTCTTATTGGTTGGTAATTATAGAAGGACCTATCAATCAACTAAATAGAAGCAGCTGATTGGCTACATTTGACACTTCGCCTAATATGTCAATCGTTCTCCAGCCCACACCTTTCAAAATTTCGTGGCGAGAATTCGCATTCGCATAGTCTTGCGGGCCCTCAACGAATATCATATCAGCATGCGAAGTGGGAGTTGGGGATTTTAAAACAATATGGCTGCACTTCTTCCTTCTTCCGATTCCGCAGATGCAGGAGTTCGTCTCAGCTCTGTAAGTCAGTGCCTTGTTTAACGCTGTCGAAGTCAGATGCATCCGAATACTGAAACTGATTTATTTTTCAGCTGAGCCCGAAGTATTTGCATACGAATTCGACAAGTCACACTTGGCCTTTCAGCGCCATCGCGGAACTCATCGGTGAGCTTAAGTTTTGTGGATATTCGGCGCGAAATTGTTTTGTTTGGGTTTGTTGGATTTATCCCTGGTCTTGTTTTTTTTAGACAATGCCTACGATCCGGACGTAAATGCCAGCCAGTTGTGGATAGACGTAAAAAAATATAATAAACATCCCTACTGCTTAGTTTTCACTGACAACGGAGCCGGCATGGGTCCCGAGAAACTACATAAAATGCTTAGGTAAGCTTAGAATGTTTTCTTCCAGCTTCTCCAAATTTAAATAATGGCTCTTCATTCAGTTTTTAACTTTTGAATGCTCACATGCGGATTTCTTCTTTATTTTCTCAGCTTCGGGTTTTGCGATAAGGTAAGATCAAGATTGAGAGTTTTGCCCTAATTCGACGTTGCGTTACTTGGTGCATTCTTTGCAATCGTTTACAGTTTGACTTGACTTGTGTAAATTTTGGCCGGGCGTAATCATCTTGTTATTTAAATATGGTTATATTATCAGGTGGCTATGAAGGGACAGCATATGCCAGTCGGACACTATGGCAATGGATTTAAGTCAGGATCGATGCGGCTTGGCCGAGATGCAATTGTTTTCACCAAAAACGGTGCTACGCAAAGCGTGGGGTTTCTCTCGCAAACCTACTTAGAAGCCACAAAAGCGGAGACAATTGTAGTACCGATAGTAACTTGGGATTCAAATGGAAATATCCTTTAATAGAGAATGGAAAGCTTAAATTGAGAGTTCCGTAGATAGTTGTAAATGACGATGGAATCAATTGTGATCTGTTTGTTACTTCCGCCATGTTGGTGTTCGCGCGAAACTCGAATTTGGCGCCCTATATTATTTTCGACGGAAGTGATTATTTTGTGCAGTTTAGAGCTACTTGGTGACTAGTGAGAGTGACGTGATGCAAGATTTCGAACCTGTTGTGGTTTTCCCTCTTTTAAAGGTGAACAATACTTTTTTAATTCTTTGAAAGAAATCTATTGCCAAATAGTAAGTTCAAGGGTAAATTGAAAGACTTAAAGATGTTTTCCCACAGATATTTCACCCTAAAATTAAAAAGAAAAAATTTAAATATAATTTAAATAAAGATTGTTGATATTATCTATTTGTATAGAGATGAAATAGCAAATATGCATGTCATTGCTGCCCGCACAGGGCAGCTACCTATATTTGTCTTGAAAGCATCTGAGAACTCAATTTGTCGGGAAGTTTGTTTCCCTGTTTGTTAGCAGTTCCCAGTCCTTACCACGTAGCACCCTATGCAGTGAAGTAAAATGGCAGCCAAAATTTTATGTGAGAATTTTGTGAGTACTTAGAAAGTGAAAGTCTGTGATTCTTTCGGAACACGCTTCAAAAGGAAGCGGCAATGAACTTGTTATAGAGTTTCTTAGCAATCTTGAATCTGCAACCTCTTTGTTAGACATTCGTAAGTGTTATGTGTGAGGTTGAAGTCAAAAGTCAGATGCGAGTGTGAGGGACAGTTTAATATTTTCTGCAACGTAGCCAGTAAGTTACTCATTTGCTTGTCATGTCATTGTTGTAAAGTTAGGTACTTTAGGAAGGTAGTGAATGTTAAGGCTCTATTAAAGGGGAAGACAGTGTTCTTTCCTGTGTTTCTCAGGACTGTCGTTCCATGAGCCCAGCCAGTTATCAGCTGTGGATCACGAACACAATCTATGAAATCTTTTCACAAGGAGACAATTTGTTTCAAAGCATTGTAAACTATCAACTCAGCAGAATTGTTTTTAGCAGATGACCTTTGGAGTATGTTCACAACTTTTTCTAACGAGGTGAATGGAACAACCAGGGGAACAAAATGAAATACGATAATATTATTGAGGTCATAATTTGCCCTGACAGTGAGGCGAATGAAACAAACAAATTGCGCACCAAGGTGTATCTGTGTCTTATTTATTTTGATAAAGTATATTTATATTTATTTATGATAAATTCCTTGACTTATCATAAAAATTGAACCAAAGTCAGACAAGGATAAGGCTCTTCAAGATATCCTGACATACTCAATTTTTAAATACAAGGAGGAACTATTAGCTGAGTTTGCAGGAATTCAAAACCCCAGTGGTACCCGTATCATTATATTTAATGTTCGATCAACTCCTGATGGCAAACCAGAGTTTGATTTTAGCACATCTGATGACCTAAGAATTCCGGAAGACACAGACTTGGCCATTAGCAAACTGAAGAAGCAAGAGAGACAAAACCACATCCCAGAGTCTGATTACTCTTTACGGGTAAGTAATTTATTTAACAATTAGCAAATATTGAATAAGGTTCATGAATATGATGTGAAGAATTATGCAGCCTATCCAGTAGCGTGTCCAGCATCAGCAGATAACACCCTCCATGATCTGTAGAATTTTTCAGGTCATACGAAAGCCAAATCCAAAAGTTTTTATTTTATCATTCATTCAAAATAATTCTTACTTTAAAAACATGCTTATGTCGTTGGATGTTATTTCTTGTTGTCATTTGCTTGTTCTTCTTCACATCAAGTGTAATAGTTTAGCTCTGAGATTTTCCTCAAATAGCAGTTGTCATCTGTTGAGTTGTATTTTTGCCTCATCAACTGTATTTTGTTTTCTAGGCTTATTGTGCAATTCTTTACTTGCGTCCCAGGATGCAGATTATTTTGAGAGGTAAAAAAGTGCGCACCACAGTCATAACAAAGAGTTTAAGTAAAACAGAAGTGGATAACTATCGGCCTTCAGCTGTAGTACGTGAAGCTAACACAAGCACACTGAGTCTTGGATCTGTATCCTATTTGATATGTATATGAACTAAGGATCAGTGCTGTCTTTTTTTATTTATTCATCATTAGTTTGTTTTAGCGAGCAATTCAGTACATGGACATGATTATCCTTTTAGAGTAAATTATTTATTTTTATTTTGTTGTGAAGGTTTTCAGTGGCTGATATATATCAGCCTGTCATTTATACCACAAACTACTATAGGTAATTGGCTGATTTTACTGCAGTAGCCAGTTAAAAAAGCCAGTTGCCAGATGCTAATGACAATAGCCCTGAAGACCGGATGTTTTCACTTTAAAGAGTAAGGCCTTGATTTGAAGACTTCATATCCAATGTCAGAGGTTGTTCTTGGGGAAGGAATGTTCCATCCTCACACTGTCCTTATTCCTGGTTTTGAGGTTTTTGTAAACTTAACATTTTCTCTCCAAGAAAAAGGTCTTCCTTGATGATGGAGGGTGAGTTAATGACAATAATTATAGGCCACCTCAGCTACGGTGAATTAAGTAATAAAGAGTTAAAAAGTCAAATGGAGTAAAGTTGTTTTCTTAACAAATCTGGTAACATGACAGGTCAATAAAGGAGTAAAAATAACATTTGGCTTCAGTCAGAACAAGAACCATTATGGAATCATGATGTACCACAGAAACCGGCTTATTAAACCATATGTGCGTGTGGGCTACCAGTTACGGGTGAGTAAACACCATCTGTCACATATTCCTCGTCTTTAATTAGAATTTGAGTACATTAGATGTTACACAACATTAACTTTATTACATAAAGTATGAATGCCACACCTGTATTAAGAAGCCACTTGTCAAAGCTTTGGAATTAGTTCCCTTGATTGCTATAAAACTGACCTCTATTAGTCCTAAGCTTTCATACCTCACAAAATTGTACTTGGCAGAAATGAAAGTCATTGATATTAAAAGCAAAGTTTGGCTATTTGTCATAACTTTATCAAGACAGAGTCAAATTGATTTGTTTCTATATTACTTACAAGTAATCAGTGATACTTTATTATTATTATTATTATTATTATTATTACTATTATTATTATTTTAATTAAAGTATTACAGTGAAACCTCTATTAAGCGGTCTTTGTCGGGACCTTCCCAAGTGTCCACTTAGTAGAGGGTGTCCGCGTGATAGAGGTTGTAAAAATTGCGCAGTGTTTATTAACGATCAAAATTCAATGGTTACTCTGTACTGTGATAAAGTTGCATGTTGTTAAATAAGCTATCCAGAGTTCAAGTTCATTACCTTTCATTGCCAAGTTTAATTAGTTTGTAAATGCAAAAACATTAACAGACTTCAGTACGTATTTCAAGGGCGTCAATCCAATACTGCTTTTGTCAATTCAGTCCGGTGTCTTCTTAATAGGGGTTTTTAACAATTAATAGAAATTAGCCAAGTACAACTTATTTTAGTGCCCTCATCCACTTAATGGAGGTGTCCACTGAATAGGAGTTTTGGGACACGGCTTAGTGTCCGTGTAAAAGAGGGTGTTCGCTTAATTGGGGGTCCGCTTAATAGAAATTTCACTGTATATATTTTAGTTGAAAGTCATTAGTGATATGTGTATTTGTAAGTATAAACATAGTTAAAGGAAATAGTTCTTTACATTGACTGACACGTTTTTTTTTTCCTGTCAGGCTAATAACTTTGGTGTTGGTGTAGTGGGTGTTATTGAATGTGATTTTCTTCAACCAACTCATAACAAACAGGACTTTGATTACACCAAAGCATACAGGTACTGTACTTGCCTACTACTTGTAGGCATTTGTTGTATGACATGTTAATTAATCAAGGATGGATACGTACAATACATACATGTGGTGGAGATCCGAACGGTAACCAGAAGTTGCTTTACCACATGCCTGAGAATATAATGGAGATGAACAGAGAAACTAGAAGAGAACAAATTTTTATCTGTGAACATTAATTTTGTCTAACCTAGCACTGGAATTAATGAGTGCAGTCATTTATCTTTGTGGTGACTGCAGGCCATTGAAAGAGAAGCAGGGGTTTCAATAACTGTTGAGGGAAATAAGTATCCAAATAAGCTCATGTAGGGGGTGGTTTGAGATCAATCTAGTATGGATTCAGTTGATATTCAGTGAAAGGAAGGAGTGATTTGCAGCAGAGAACCCCCTGGAGCTCAAGCAGGTGCCAGGCCCTAATTGTTCGAAAAGTGGATGGTGTTATTTATCCGGTGGATAACTTATGCAATTGGATTTTGGAACACTTATCTACTGGGTAGTGATTTTTCTGGCGGATAGCGCAATCCAACTTTTCAACAACCGGGACCTGATCTTTATATATGAAAGCCTTGGAAAATATATTCATTTTGGATGTTTACTATGGTTGTTTTCTTTGTTAAGATTTGTTTGATCATTTTCAAATCCTGTGACAGCCATTTGACCAATGGCAGGGTTAAATTAACGACTGTTTTGTCAATCAAATGACTATAAAGGCCCTGTAAGTGTAAGATTCTGGCAAGTGTCATGGGCTTGAAACAGCAATGTAAGACAGATGTAATGGAGACAAAATAATGACATGAAGATCGGTTGAAACTGACAATCTCAAATACAATATGTAATTCTGAAAGCGACATTTACAAAATGACTGGTTTTGAAATTCAGACTAGGGAATTATGGTCTCCCCACCCCTTCCCCATCTCCTTAGAGTACCTCTTAACTAGACAAAGTATGACATGGGGCATGTAAATGTACAGGAAAGTTGTGACTTAGTCTCTTCATGTTTTATTATAAATCTACAGAGCTTGTATTGCTGCTCTGGGTTCCAAGCTAAATGATTACTGGTAAGGTTACTAAATTTGGTAAATTTGTTGTCTAATTTGTCGTTGATTAATTTGTTTTAAAAGAGAGTTCATTCTCACTGAAATTTGATGTTTTATTGCTTTAATGTTTTGAAATGATAATTGACAATGACTTCCTGTTGTATTTATTTTTCTCGTATGAATTAGGAATGAAAAGAAGGGTGTACAGCGTCCCAATAGCAAAGATCCCATACCTGAGCCTGTGGAAGTTCAGTAAGTTACAAGCTTGAAATGATGAATATATCAATTTCAAAGATACATGACGCAAAGTTACAAGCATGTTTGTTGCGCTTCTGTTTGCTTTGTTGCCGTCATGAGATCATTACTTGTGTAAGGTGTACCCTCTGTTGATTTTAAGTCTGCTTTTGTCTGTGGTTACAGAAGTTTTATTGTTGTCCTCTATTTTGTTCTTACTGTGCATGCTTGGGCTGTGCAGTGTTCAAAGGATAGTATTCTACTATGAGAATCTTTAGAAATGCGGTTAAAATGATATTGTTTACCTTTCAATAACAGTTTAGGGCCTCTGGGAATAATGCTACTTACCTAAAATTTAATGTGTGGAGTGTTGTTTATGAGCCAGTTGGCTTGTAGATTGTTACAGTGGAGTTTACCCTAATGTAACGAAGTGCCTAGGGATTGCAAGAAAATCACTGCTTATTACTGGGTTTGAGTGAGGCCAAACACCACATCGATTACAGTGATCACTTTATTCAGTACAAAACCAACTACTTAAGACGCGAGGATGGCAACGGCAGTGAAAACGTCGCTGAAAAAGTGAATTCATGTTCTTTCAATCTTCATCACAGTTACTCCAAGTCACTAACTTTTTCAAATGTTGGCAAACCATCCTAAAGTTGAATTCCTAAGAACCATATCCAAGTTCAGAAAGAGAGAGGAAATCTTGTCGTCGCTTGTGTACTTCCTCTGTACATTGTGAAATTAGGCATTGTCACGTTGTAGTCATGCAGTGACGGCAAAGAAATGTACAAAAAAGGGTAAATGCACTTGCAAAATAATTGTTGTTTTGCTAATTAAACCTATTGCTTTTGTGGTGTTCCCATTGTCGTCGCTTTTATGAGATCCTAAGGTCCCTAATAACTTAAATTGTAGAACATCTTGTAAATGGTTGCAAGTGTTTGGTTGTTTTTTTTGTGGGGCTGCAATTACCACTGACGTTACAAACAAGATTGATAAGAAACTGGACAACTGTAGAATACTCATCATCAAAAGTTTCTTAGTGCAACACTACGGAACATTGATGTTACATTTAGGGCAGCCATTGATCCCTTAATTAATAATGGCAGGGTATATAGTGATCAAAGATTCCATGTTGATTAATGGGACAAAAATCAAGGGTTATTTGTACAATGAAACCTCTATTAAGCGGACCCCCAATTAAGCAGACAACCTCTGTTAAGCAGATTCTAAGGTGGGTCCCGGATTATTAACGTCTTATATTTCTCTTTATAACAAACCCCTATTCAGCAGACACCTCTATTAAGCAGACGCGAACACTAAAATAAGGTGTATTTGGCTAATTTCTATTGTTGAAAACCTCTATTAAGCAGACACCGGACTAAATTGACAATAGTAGTATTGCTTCACGTCCTTGAAATACAGACTGAAGTCAGTTAATGTTTTTGCATTTACAAACAAATTAAAGTTTTTAATGAAAGGTAATGAACTTCAACTCCGGATAGCTTCGTTAACAACATGCAACTTAATCACAGTACAGAGCAACTGTTGAATGTTGATCGTTAACAAACATTGTGCAGTTTTTACAACCTCTATTAAGCAGGTCACCCCCTATCAAGCGGACACTTGGGAAGGTCCCAAAGGTGTCCGCTTAACAGAGGTTTCACTGTGTCTTCATTTTTAGAAAACTCCCAGACCAGACATGGGTGCAGTGTGACAATCCTGACTGTCTTAAGTGGCGCAAGTTACCTGATGGCACTGATCCTGACAAACTGCCAGATAAATGGTATTGTAAGGATAATCCCAATCCCAACATGAGATCATGTAATATTCCTGAAGAGAAGGAAGAGGAAATTGAACAGCCATATGTTAAAACACAAAAGAAACGCTTGTGAGTACTTTTTCAATGTATTTTTTGAGGGGTGCATACAAGTGTCAATAGGAGGAGAAAAAGTGTTATTATTTAGTGAGCTCCATACTCTTAACTAAAACGTTTTCGATTACCAGACAGGATGAGCATGAAGATGGCCAAAACATAACACTAGAACCTCTTTTCCTTCAATAGATCCACAAAAGTCTTAAGGTATATTAGGGAATAGGGGAAGGTGAAGTGGTCTGGAGGAAAGGAAGGGAGGAAGGAGACCACTAGCTTCTGTAGAGTTTTTTGGGTTTGAAAATATTAGCTTTTAAACTGCATCCAAAGCCAGAGCTCGATCAAACTATCCAGGTTTCAAAATGCACAACTTTGGGGTTTGTTTTTGGTGGGAATTTATTATTATGGAGCTCAGGCAGCCGCATTTTTGAGTGATGCTTTTCAGCCAGAAGTGAGCCTTTTTCTTGTGTAATATGTCTTGTTGCTACCAAATTTGTATATTATTGCTAAGTATTTTTACTCTTTTAGAGATGGTTTGCCCAAATATTTGTCTCAAAATCACAGCTCAAGAGTTCAAAAATTCCACGTCCAGCTTATGTGTGTCACTAATTATCACTAATCCTGATTATTTGACATGCTGAGGTTAATTTGGGTGGTCGAACCTGGATTCCAGCTTAGACAGCTTTTATTCGGTGGGGGTGGGATTTTGTTTTAACGGAAATTTTTGTATCACCATCTAGTCAACCTTGTCACTTTTAGTCTAGATTACCTTCCCCTGGGACAAACGTTAGTTTAAACTGGCAACAGTAATATTAAGAAACATTTTTAGTCAAACGAGATTACAGTGTTTTTATTGAGACTTTTACCTTTCTTGTGTACTTTGAAAGTTGGATTTCTTAAATTGATTAAAGATTAAAATGATAATACCTTACCACAGGGAAAAAGAGATGGAGGATAGAAAACGTAGAGAACGGGTAAGAAGAATATTAAATATAAAATCTATTATCTTGAACACTGAAAACTGCCTCCTCTCTTTTCCTTTTGATGACTTGATTAATACTGGTAACACTGGTTTGTTTGAACATTGCTTGAAATGATTGCCTTTGGAGTTAATTTATGCAAAATTAATATTTTGTAAGCAGCAGCTCTTCTTTAAGTATTTGTTTATTATTCTGTTGTTGTGCAATCCATGTACTATATACATTTAAGAAAAAGATAGGCATTTATTTTAAAAAGAACATGTTTCATTTATCCTGAAAAGAAAATGTTAACATTTTGACTGTCAGAATAGACTTTCAAAGTACATGTCTATTTGTTTTTTGTTGTGCTCAAGTTTCACCGTTTACAGAAATGAATATTGCCAACATAAAAATGAGAAATTATTCTTTAAGTTTCAACCCTTGGTTGCAGTACCTAACAAACAAATTATGTTCAAAAAGGAATGTTATGACCATTAGAATTTTTTTAAGACTATTGAGACATACATTATTTTCAACTTACAGTTACACTTTGATAATAAAAGTTTGTTTTCATTGCTTTTCTTTTTACCAGGAAGCCAAATTAAAGCAAGAACAGGAGGTAGGGTTTATGAGGTTTTTTGTGATGTTAGACAACTATGCCATCCATTAGAGATTTCCACAAATTATGTACTTTAACTTCACTCCAACATTATTATTTCTTTGAACCCTGTTACACCCTTTGGAAAATGCCGCTCGTTTCTAAGTTTTCTTTTTAATTCACTGGTTTCTCAGTGTTTGTTGTAGATGAGACCTGCCTGCCTCCAGGACGTGTGTGGAGGGGGTTTCAGACACGACCCACACTGAAGTGTCCAAAATTAAACTGTGAAACGTTTTTCTTGTACTTGTACATGATAAATCTGTTTGCTAAAAAGTGATTCTAAATCACTCTTAATAATTAATTATTCATTAAGACCTCCAAAACTACAAGTGAAAATGTCACTAATCTGAGTTGATATTGGTATTATCCGACTTGTTATTTTCACTTTCTTTGGTCCATGTTTTCAGGCAAAAATGTTGCAGCAGCAGCAGCAAAAGGAGTTAGAGAAAAAAGAAGCAGAACTACAGAGGTATATGATGTTTGATTTCCATCTGATGTCATTTTTCTTTACCTTCACTAATTGAGTATGGTCCATAATAATATTTTATCCTTTATTTAAACTACTCTGCTCCCACTTGTATTTTCTTCCATTTGGGGTTGTATATGTTATGGTATTTTGATCAGCTATATTAAGTTTACTCAATGAAAAAAATATTCAGAATTAGAGTACTGGTAATCCTCTTACTGTGCCAAATTCTTTGCATGTCAGGGAACCGAAAAATAATGGGAAATTTGTCAGATTTGTCTTTCACATGGTTTGTTGTTTTAACAGAACACATGATGTTCTTTTTTGATAGAGTCTCAGTGTTACTAATCTCAACAATCTTTTTCTTGTGTGTTTCTTAGGTTAAGACAGCAGCTGGCCGAAATGGAATCTAATAATGAAACATCAATTCTTCAATCAATTGAACAAAACAGTGCCAAACAACAACAAGCCATCAGACAGGTTAGACTTTACAGAAAATAACTTATTAAATTTAAATACAGCAAGTGAAATATTTAGTCAACTTTTTGTTTTTGATTTCGATGCCCTTTTGAAGGGCTATAAGCATGGTTAGTTTTAATGATTGGCCTTAACCCTTCAAGTCCCAATAGTGACCAACATCAATTTTCTCCTAATGATATCCATACAATGTCAAGAGGTTAGGTTATGAGAATTAATTAAGTGGTCACCAAGGAGAAAATGCTTTGATCTTTTCTCAGATTCTCTCAACACATTTTTAAAAAAGTGTATAGAGATCAGTTTGGAGAATTTGCTTGTGGATATTGGAGCTTTAAGGGTTAAATAAACCTGTTATAAACCTTTACAGTACTTGCATGTTAACTAACGTTTTTATCATGAGGATATGTGCGGCCTACAGCTGTATAATAAGCTGTAAAAGAGAAAAGTGCCAGGAAAAGCTAGGAAAAATGCCCAGAAGTTGTCAGTAGAAATTAAATATTTTTGTAACGTTTGACATGATCTCAGCACCCACACAAGTGTTAAGTATGCATACTTAGGCAGGTGAGAGTGCGTGGTTTTTTTGGTTGTTTTCATAGGCAATGTAGACAAATAACAATAACTTAAAAATCTGCTCATTAAAATCTGATGAAATTTGGCAGAAATCCTGTTCATATTACACTGCAGACATTCAAAGCCTCAAAAGACATTTTGAAAAAACACATTTTGTGACACAATCAGCTTTCTCATGAAAGCTATTTTCTTAAAAAATTCAATAGCTGTTTGTTACAACAATTGTTCAAGTTTTTTAAAAAAAGATGAGGGTTACTGATAAAACTGCAAAGTTTTAGGGAAATCTTATGACTGGTTTTTGTTTAAAGCTAATAAATTCACAGTTTTAGGCTTCTTTTCAGTCATCCATGTTTCCATGGCAATGATCAAAATCTCACTCATAACCTCATAAGTTAATGTCATGCCAAATTTGAGCTTGGAGTTGCAATGAGTCCTAAATTACTCCCCATTGAATGTTAACGATCCCCAACTTATCAAACTTTTCAGCAACAACATGCAAACAGTTTTCATCAGTCATGGTAATTTTATGCCAAAGTGCTCAACTCCTAGATTTATGAACATGTATTAAATGTTGATTTATTTGCAGTGTATGTTGTATCTCCCTCATGATTAGAAGTTGTAACAAAGGTTCCTTGGTAACTAATGCTGATTATGTAACTAAAAAAATGCAACATTTGTTCAGCAACTTTCAAATTACAGATGGTAGGTGTCTATTTCTGCTGGTGAAGTGAATTCACTAACTACTCAAAGGTTGTAGGTTTAACATCTCATGCTGTGTCATGAGTAAAGATGTCCTGTTTTACTTTTTTTCCAGAAAATTAATACAAAATCCATCAACTGAATCTAGTGGAGTTAACAGTGTCTTTTATTATTATTATTTTTTTGTAGCAGGTAAAGGGAGAACAGAAGTCACCTCAACCTCTCCGAATAAAGGTACATTCAGTTTCTGTATTTACTGTTGCTGTAATCATCAAGGATTTATTTTCTGGCCAAAAGAGAATTTTATTTTTCTTTCAAAAACAAAGCAGGAAATTCTGAGCAGGCAAGATTACACTGTACAGGTTGGTATATAGGCCCCTGCTTGCAAACTTATCAGAATGTAGGATTCTGTGAATCTTGCCTGCTGCCAGAGCTGGCCCATATAGTTTTTTTTATTTCAAAATTAACTTTGTTTTGTGTATGTTGTGGTTCAATTTTATCCTTGGTTGAAAATGTATTTTCTTTCGTTTTGGGCTTGGTAATGTATGATAATGATTTTGAAACTAAAGAAAATACAATTTAAACCAAGGATAAAATTGAACCAGAACATATATGCTGATTTCAGTGAAAAATTGCATTATTAACTTTTTGTTGTGTTTGTGAGAACAAAAAAGGGGACGTTGTACCACTCACTAGGACTTTGTCCCTTACTCTTTTCAGTGGGTTCCTACAGCTGACATTTCCCTGTGAGTTCCTAACTTGTTTTTTCCTTCTGTTGAAGGTGGGGCCACCACATTCAAGTGGTTTTAAGGTAAATATTGCTTAAGGATTTTTCAGTTTAATTTTTGTTTCTTTTGCACATTAAAGTTGTGGATTCCATATCCAGTTACTCCTATTAACAACTGCTGATATCAGGGAATACATAGTTAGCAAAATAAAATTATAATGTACAGCTGTAATAAAAAGCTATTATACAATATTGAGTAACAGAAGTACATGCTCGATAACCTTTTTTGGGAAATGCACATTTTGAAAGTTGTCATTAACATTGTAATTGAGTGTTTTTTATCCCCAAGAAGCTGGAACCATTGTGAGAGAATTCACTAAAATATGTGGAGCAGTATTAATTAAAATTATTTTCTTTTATCCATTGAAGTCAACTCCTGGAAGACCACTCTCGCAGGCATCTCCACTTCGTACCACCATGGTGACGTCCCAAACATCAAATTCACCAGCAATTTTAACACCAAACAGAACACAACCACAGCAGCAACAGCAACAACAACAACAACCAGCTATCAAGGTTGTTAAGGTATTTTCCTCCCGTCCTCCTCCATCAAGCCAGGCCCCAACTACTGGAAACAAACCACTGGTCCAGATAGTTCCGAGTCCCCATGGAAACATCCTACAGCAGAACAACACAGACACGACAACGCCCAAGGTAGTATCTGTACAGTCATTACAGTCGCCTGCAGCAGGCAAGACACGACTAGATCAATCTGGCCAAGTTACAGTTCAAAAATTAGTGTTATCATCAGGTCATAAAATTCATCTTCAAACACCAATTTCTCAGCATGTAACTCCTGTGTCTACCAACTCACCAAAATACCAGTTTAAAACTGTACCAATTCAACTGACACAGCCAGTGCAGCTACCGACAACTCCTGCTGTAAGCACACAAAATCAGCTCCCTATGCAGCACGTTAGTACACCACTAACATCACCTGCTGTGCCGAGCAGTTACAAACCATTAGAGTCATTAAAAGAAGTCAACAGACAAGCGACACAGGCATCAGCAGTAACATCGCCAGTGTCGGCTGTCATCCCAGAGGTTACTTCTGCCACAAGAAAGTCACCCACTGACATCAGGAATCAAGTAACTGTTAGTGATAGATATCGATACATTGCTCCGTCACCTCAGACATCAGCAGGGGCAGCTGTAGCCGTAGCTGGTTCCACTACCCCAACGTCTGTACTGCCACCCCAGCAACATGTTCAGACTTCACCTGTCAAGTCAACTGCACCTGTCGCGGTGCAGTCTATTAATCCAGCACCCTCACAAGTATTGCAGGTATTAAAAATTACAATCACCAGCCAAGATTCAACCACTTTTGTAATATACTATTTAAGTTAAATGTCGGAAGGAGACGAGAATATTCCCTCTACTGTATGCACTGCACATGATTTTAAGATAAGTTGCTGTGGTGCATTGCTTAATGAAGGGTGCAATTTTCAAACTTCTCATTAAATCAAGCCTGAAAACTTTCAGTGTATTGTGTTGGGTTCTCTTGGTGGAAGTGGAATTTGTTCTCCATATTCAAGGACAATCCGTGATCGTTCTTTAGCTCAAGCGCCTTGTAGTCCATAAGGGCAGCTCTTTTGATATACATATTGTTTTGTTACTGTAGGTGCTGCAGATTAAACAGGAACCAAAGCCTTCGGTTCCTGTTCCACCTTTACAGCAAACACCTTCAAATATTCAGATCACCCAAGTGCATTCTGGGTCATCAGCAGTAGCGGCATCAACAGTAGCACCAGTTAACGTGAAGATGGAGAAAGTTGACACGTGAGTTAGAACTTAACAACATAAGCTTTTCCTGATTAACATCCAAATTAGGTCACCTAGTAACTGGTAACAGGACAAAGCAGGTAGATGACAGAGGAAGAGTTTTTCTCCGGTGTAATTACTGTATTCCAAAGACGAATGAACTTTATTTATCAGCAATGACTTGGGGAGTTTAGTTACAAGTGTCCGTTTAATACAGGTTGGCAACAATAGAAATGACCATTTCAGGTACTTTTTAGGTGTCCGCATCTGCTTAATAAAGGTTTCATTTAGAGTAAATAAGGGAAATAAATTTGGTGACTTCGGCATCGGCTACTGTCCGCTTAATAAGGGGTGTCCGCTTAATACAGGTTTCACTGTATGTTGTATGGTATTGTAACTAAGCTGTGTGGTATTGTTTTCAGGCCTCTTGTAAATGGAATCAAGAGAATACGTAATGACAATGATGACGTCATTGAGCAACCGCCTAAACAGAAACCCCGGGTAGAGAAGGAAGTTATCATTATCGACGATCCAACCCCTCCCCCTCCCCCAGAGGAAGAAAAAGTCGAACCGGAAGTAAACCGTGAGCTTGCTGTAGACGGTGTTGACAAAGACTTGATAATTAAACTAAGAAAATTGAGCCCAGAAGAACAGTGGATCAAACTTGCAAAATCCGCACAACAGTTAAGATATTTACGGGATAATGTGTGCAAACTGTTGCGAGTTCTTGTACCGGAAATAGACCTCGGAGACAGAACGGAAATACTTGACAACACAACTGTGGATGATCTCTTAAAGCAGGTTTTGGAGGCCAATATACAGCCGCCCAGTTCAACAAACTCGTGATCAGTGGCACTTCAACGTCTTCATCGACTGCTTTTTAACCTCGTTTCTCCTACCACGTTTTTTGATGGATCCACCACTCTTGCGCCTAATAGGAATGTTTGATTGATGATTCATGTCCGTGGGATAACTTTGCAACACTTCTGTCAAGGAATTTGTTTCTCTTCCGTTTTTAAAGTATAATGATATCGTGAGGCTCGGGGAAAGATGCCTGAAAAACCTTGCTATAATAAACATGGCTCACACGAGATACAAATAACATTTTAAAAATATCAGTGGAGTGATTTTATATTTACTAGTCGTTATTTTCAATGATTTATATATTCGCGCTAGCTTTCAACAGAAATATTCTCGGTTGATTTTGTAAATATAAACTCTTCCAAAAAGGTTTTTAAAAACACTGCAGTAACTCGTATACGTAATTGATTAAAGGCGTCAACACAAACAGTCGTGTGTCATGTCTCATTTTGACAGTTCAAGGGATTTGGTATACCCTACGGCGAGCAGAGGCCCTTCGAAACGGGCCAATATTTTGCTAGCGGCTATTGTTATTTCCGCAAAGCCCAAGAGTGTGGCTTGGGACAAGTCTCACCCCTCCCCTCCCTTGCCCGCTCCGCCCAAAAGTTTACCAAGCTTCACCTAACTGGACTTAACTTTCATATGAAGTAAATTTTTCTAGTGATAAATGCACGAAGACCACCCACGTGTTTCGAAAAAGAGGTGAAAATGTGTTGTCGCGTGTTTAAACCAATATTTCTTGTTGACGATGTCACCGTGGCCGTTGCTCTCTTTTAGGAATAAATTATTTGTTGCTGGACGAAAATTCGTACGTTTAGGCGTTCCCTTCATACGAAACCACCTTAACCGTACGGCAATTTACACGTATCCGTGTGAACAGAGCGAAAATATGGAACGGGCTTGTGTGAACGAAATGGTGTCCGGGCAAGTTTTAGAGCAACCTCGTTGCCAGGGTTCTCCCCTTCCCGTCCCTACGGTGGAGGTAGAAGAGAGAACCTGGGAACGAGATTGGTTTTAGAGCTGGTGGAAAAATCGTTCGGTACCGTGTAAAAGCTTGTAAAGGTAGCCACTCAAGAACTTCGCACTCACTTTTGTGAAAAAACTGTAGAGCTACTTTGATTTGAAATTTGGAAGGGAGTATGAACATTTTCAAAGGAAAATGAAGAGGGCAAAATAAATGAAAAACCCTTAAAACTTCGTAGAAAGAAACCTTTTTACGTGACTGACTTGAAAGATTACCATCACTTACTCACCAAGGATTAGGCATATGTTTGATGTCATAATTGATGAAGTCCTGTAAACGTCTGTTTAGGAAGCTATGTTGAAGCCCTGAAGAGTTTAAAAAGTGCCGTGTTACATTCTATAAAACCACTTTGGTCAGTTTTCCAGCAATAGCCACTTCCGCTAGAAAACAACAGAGTGAAGGATTCTTGTAGTTGTAGCAATGTGACGCCATGGTGATAAATGGTCCCTGTCTAAGATGCACCCCTCACGGTGACGTAAACAAAGAAAACAAAGAAGCAAACAGAATAGAACCTAGAAAAACAAAAAGGCGCGAAACAAAGAAAAAGTTTACAGGTTCTTACACCGAGGCAAACCTAATTAATGTCATGAACACAGGATGCCATGGGGACATCATTTTGATCACGGTCTTGGTAATAGTAATTCCCCAAAACTTCACATTTTGTTTTGTAAAATAATAGGAAGTAAATAATATCATGCAGAAGAAGTTGCATTTTAGTTGTAACACCACAGGGTTTTATTCGCAGAGAAAAAAAGTTAGAATGACAAATAATCTTGCCCTGATGTGTATTAGGAGTATTTGGGTTGTTTCCTTAGGTGATCGTGTAGGGCTTTTGACTGTCATGCGTAAATCACGAAACTTGACCGGAATGAAAAATTTACGAAGTTGCAGGAGAGTGATCTCGGCAAAAACTAAAAACAACGGGGTAACCACGCCTTTTTGTCATGGGTTTATACAGTGTTATGAGTGACCGACATCAATTTCCTCATATTTTTTTTCAAAATCAACACTTCAAGGAAAAAGGTCATGAGATTTGATAAAATGATCACATAAGCGCGAAAATGTTATGATTATCAAATTCTCTCGAACAATTCTTTAGGAAAGTCTACGGAGATCAGTCTGGACAAATTGTATTGAGGCTTAAGGGTTGACGGAGTTCAATTGTCTTTACCAAGCCACAGGGTCATAGGCCATCAAAGTTTCAACGAGCATGCAGTGAGCTGATTCATCATATCATTGAAGCTTTCAAAAAAGAAATCAAACTAGGGAGGAAACTTTTAGTAGAAGTACACGTTTTTTAAGGTATGAGATCGCGAGCTGTTGGATAGTGAAAGCAAGCGACCTTATACCGTCTTAGAAATAGAAAAAGGTCGTAAAGACGTACAAATGGCACTGAAAGAGGGCATCGATTGAGCGAATTTAACTGTCTGTTCATAGACTCAAAGAATCCGACGAGCACGCGCGAGTGGCGGTCACTGAATCCCCGTGGATCAAATTTTCGCTTACCTGCTCGACGATCTCTAAAGTCTGTGAACAGATTAAGCCAACTAACGAAAGAATAGTGTAAGTTTTAGCGGATTTGCTAGTGGCATAAAGCGATTTCTTCAAAGATCTTTATCAAAAATTTTGAAACACGTTGTAAACGTCTGACAAGGGCCTTTTTAAAAAAATTCATCTTGACTTTTAGCTACTAACTCAACATTTATACCCATAGAACTCCATGACAAACACTGTGTATTTTTTTGCGTATTTTAATTTATTTTACGAGTACAAAATAAAATTGTCTTCAGAAAATCCCGTTTAATCAGTACTAATTACAGCTTATTGTTTCAGAGTAACCTTTGTACAATAAAAAATACAATTAAGCGCTAGACGTAAGATTCTTCTGTGGACAGAATTTTTTCGATATCATCATGAGAGGGGACCGTGTACGGTGTGCTCGGTTGTGTATGGTACGGAGTGCGTACTTTAGCTATCGCCTGTGCGGTTTGAGGACTGATTTTCAGTCCGTTCGCCTGAGTAGTTTCACTGAGCAATTCCTTGATATCACGAATCTGCGTCACGTCCGTTTTCCCTTCAGAAAACGTCGAGTCGTTGCCGATGCTGGATCGTTCATCCAAACTCGACACAGACGACGACGAAGAAGTTGCGCTGCCTCTCCGAAGTCGGAAAGCGCCAGGCGAGTTAGAGCTCGGAACTGCCGAAGTTCCTCGAGTATCTACCGAAGAACCCCAATGCGTTTTTGTCTGAGCTTCGTGTGGGAAGATCTCCGAGTGAGGAAAATGAGTGAGAGAAGAGTTATGAGGTATGGAATTTGAAACATTTGATGAAACAGAACTACTGGTGGAACGAAGGTGGCCAGAGCTTGCACTTGATGAAATAGGTTTCCTAGCATTTTCTGTAGTTTGTTTTTTATAAGATCCTTCGCTGATGTTTCTCTTATGATGCAGGTTCAGTCCAAATGGTGAATGTTCGAGTTTCCGGACACCCGTATTCGCTACAGAACTCGCAGAAGAATCATCTACTTGTTCAAACACATTTTCATGCTGGCTTGACGAGGAAAGAGGGGTTCGAGGACCCGAGGAAGTCTCACTTCTTTCAGAATCCAACCGATCGTGAAAAAATCCAGGTCTTCCTGCAACACGATACTGTTGTACCTGCTCTTTAAAATCCACAAATTCCTTACTTTCCCTAGGAGAACCTTGTTCCCTGCTAGAGTCCACATCTTTCACATCCTTTGTGTCTAACCCCGGGAAAAACGCGGGCTTTGGATTCAGTTCTCTCCTACGCTGCATATGCTCTTGATAAGACGGCGCGGCCGGCTGTCTTCGCCGATCTACAGCTTGAAAGACTTGATCAGGGTTAGGAGACGGAGATCGGGGACCCCCTGGGGGCTGTTTAGAGACTGGGGAGCTAGGCGGAATAGGAGAACTTGAGTTACCCTCATGACTATCAGTATTCAAACTTTGTGTTTGAACAGAGTGCTTGACTTCTAAAGCCCGTGACACAGAGCCTGGACAACTTGGTATCAGATTAAGACGTTGGTACTGCGTGACATTTTGCGTTACAGGAAACAGTCGTACTGTTTGAGGAGAATGGGCTCGGCGCAGCACCGCAGTTTCTAACTTGCGACCACTGGCTGTAGTCTTTGGAGCTTGTTTGTGTTCTATAAGTTCAGCACTTGTCGTTGTACTACTCAACTGTCGTTTAGAGTTCGGAAACTTCCGATTACCCTTCAGTCGAAGTTTCAAAGAATCCGGCGGTAACCCGAGCGGTTCGGAACTACGTCGTCCGAGCGGCAAATGTCCTTTGATTTGATTAGGTTCATAAAAAGTGGCTCTAAGTTGATTAGAAAATTCGCCATCATGCCTCTTAAGCGGCGGCGATGAACTTGGAGATGGAATCCCTGAATCACACGGAGAGTTCGGAGTGCTAATACTCTTGTTCGGTGGATGCACGGCCAGCGTACTCGAAACATATAAGTTCGAATCACTTAAATGAATTGAAGTCCTTTCTCCTTTGGGACTTAGAGGTTCAGGTGATTCTATCCCATCATCGGTAGAGGATTGACTGAGAGCTGTCCGTGAGTCCTGGGTACTACCCTCAGAATCACTACCCACGTGATTAGCAGCGAAATCGGTGCGGTCACCGAGGGTTGTCCTGACACTGTCTCCCATAATATCAACACAACGCTCAATAATAAACTGTATGACCGGGGGAGCTGAGTTTGATTGTTCAGTGGTCGGAATATTGGAACTTTTGGGTGCCCACAGCATACTGGGAGCCACGCACACAGCGAGGTTATAAGCGTTCATGTTGTTTGTTTCCGCATTATCAGCGATGTGATACAACACGCACAAAAACCTTTTTAACAGTTCGTAATTGTAACGGTTGATTCCTTCCAAAATCCTGAAAAACAAAACACAACAGGGGTAGAATTAACGAAATCGACACTGGCAACAAAAAATTTACATACTTTGTTTATACTGTCAGCACACTTAACAGCTTCAGCTAAGAACTCTCCTCCAGCGAGTGAAAAACTGACGAACTCAAATAATTAGAAAGAAATAATTAAAAAAGAACAAAGCAGTGTAAAGAAGCCCGACTGACCAGAGGCAAACAGCTGGCTATTTACAAGCATGGCCGAGGAGTTGACTGGGGACTAGCAAGAAACAAATCGGAGTGATCGGAGCGGGACTCGACCTCGGTCCGCGGCCGGGTACGCTGCCCCACCCACCACAGAGAACTCAGAAGATGATGTTTAGTATTAAGTGGAACTGAAGACTTGCCAAAACTGAAGTCACCACCAACAAACCTCCTCAAAACTACCACCCCCGCCAAAAACAAGTGTCATTGTATTTTGGCATGGAGGTACTAATCGGTACGGGACCACCACTTTACATGGTCATCACCGCCACGCGAAGTTCAAGCCACTTGCAGGGAAAAGGCAGTACCTTCAGTTCTTAGTTATTTTAAGACCCTGAGTACTGGTCCGGTCCCGGGAATTGAACCGACGACCTACCGCTCTACACTCAAGCGCTCTACCGACTGAGGTAATCCTGCCGCGCTTAACATGTGATAACAGATATACAAGTGTAAAAATTACTTCGTAAAAAAGTGCCTCCTACCCTTTGATTTGTCGCACTCTTTCCTCACGATCTTCTAGGTTTGTGGTAGCGACAAGATCTTCATAATTTTCACTTTCAAAAATACAGTCAGGTAAGCGACGAAGGAATTCCTAAAAGTAAAGAAAATAAAAAATTAAAATTAAAAATAAATAAAATAAAAATAGAGCAACAACAGCTTATTTATAGTTATAGGAACATCTTAATTCACTCAACAGGCTGAAAAGGAGAAAAATCAGTCCTCTAGTCACTGGCAGAGCGCGAGTGGTTTTCACCAAAACGTATGCGAACACTCAAGCTATTTAAAACTTGATTTCCATAGATTTCTTTATGATTCTAAGCGTCTAACCCGTTATCTTCATCATTTTTTTATGGCAGAAGAAACAAGAAGAAAAAAGGACTTCGTTTGGTTTAGGCGATATACTGTAACAGAGAAAAACGCACAGTATGTAATGTATTTCTAATAACAAGTTACCTTAAATACAGAGGCAGCTACAACTTCCGAAACATCTTCAAAGTCACAGATTTTACCTAAAAGAAAACGGCAACTCAATTAACAAGGAAACTGCACACACTAACATACTGATGATTCAATCACTGACTATACCGTATTTCCTCTATTTCGAACTCTTGGGGCTTAGTTTTTTTGTGGTTTTGTACTGGGTTTTTTGAGGAGTATTTCCACAAGCAAGATTTCCTTAACAAGTTTCAAAGGAAACCTTGCTTTTTCATGTGCACTTTAAAGGGGGCTCATCCAACGCTAGGAGCTTATTGCTTTTCGGTGGAAAGTTTATATATAACTTAATTTTCAATTTTATTTTTAAAGAAAAGCTCAGAGTGAAAATGATCACAACGCTAGGGGTGCTTATAGGAGAGGCTGTGGTTGCGTCAAATCAACAAACCTTCATCTAACTCCAGCTTGATTTCCCTAGCAATCCTAGCATTAGCAGACTTCCGGAAGATGCCGGTAGTATTGGGTCCATACCGGAAGAGGTATAACAACAGTTCCAGGACAGCTTTGGGTACGGGTTCATCCTCAGAACACAACTGACTCAGAGGTATCCCGAAAAGCCTGGAAACGAGTGGAGAACAAGCACAATTTTAACTAAGGATCAACAAATGAGAACACAGAGTAAAGATTGTAAGCCATTTGTCGACTTCGTTACAAGTGCAAATAAATAGTAACAGCAGAGCCGTGTTTTTAAGGCTACCATCAGATATTACACGTTAGCTGTCTGGTAAATTCAGCAATTATGTTACAAGGAGGAATTCGTTGCTGATCACAGTCAATAAATATCAGACTTCCTTTAAGAGAATGCTATTAAAAAGTAATAGTTGACCGGAAGTACGAAAAAAGCCGCTCGGGAAAAGTAGCTGGTGCACAGGCTAACCAACTATTCAGCAACTTTATTCTTCCATTGTGTTAATATGTCACGACATGTTTGATTGAATAATTTGAGGACTGGGCTAGCCTGTGTATAGATGCTCCCTCCCCCGAAAAAAAGGCAAGTTGGTGTAAACATATAGTCGAAGGAAGTCATGTTTTTCACAAGTAGGCAATTTTAACCATGTCACGATATTTCTCTTTACTTACTTTCCTCCTGAATGTCCGTCGATGGAGTTCGATTTTGTTGATCCTGTTGTCTTTTTGTGCATGGCCCAGTTGATGATTGGTGACTTTTTTATCGGATTTTTCCATCGCTGTTTGCTAGGAGCATTATGTACATCTAAAAATACATGAGGACAACAAAAAAATAAAAAAGAGTGGAGGTTGGTTCATTGATTCCACACTCGATGTTTTCTTGCGGGTTAATCGATAAATTAACTTTGGGTTTTCATAATTATCGCGAAATGACAAACTTAGACAATTTAACTTGTAGAAAACGAGGAATCGATTCAACTTTCTCTGTGAACAAACGTTGAGCGCCACTGGCCAGAAACTAAAACCAAAAGTATATAATGCAGCAAGAAATTGACCACAAGCTTTCCCTCAAAATTCAACACTCAAAAGAACGCAATAGTCATTATCACTAAACGACGCAAAAAGCAAATATCTAGCAGTATTTCACTTCGTGGTGTTTACATGAAGACTTGCTTCCCGCGGTATTGCGTCATTTGCGCGGGAAATTTTCGGCAAATCCGCTCTTCTGATTGGTTGTTCTATCGTCCCTATCAGCCGCTTCTTTTAAACTTGCTGACATAACGTATTTTTCCCGAGCCATTAGAGGCCTTAACTAGGCTTGGATAAATTCCGCTCGTAAAAATCGCTTATTCTGCTCAAAATTCTGCTCGGGCACCCTGACTCTGCTCGAATTCTGCTCGGTATCCGAAAAACATTTCAGCCCTTCCTGCCTTATATATTTTCGCAAATATTGAAGGGAGCTAATTAGCAAAATTGTAATTCATCTTACTTTTAATGTGAGTTCGTTGTAGCTATTAAATAATCAATTTAATCACAAGGTATTTTCCATTTGTTTTTTTTTATTTAGTTTTAAATTTTTCTTTCAACTGTTATGCATGTCATTATTGCCGCTGATTTTCCCTTATTCTGCTCAAATTCTGCTCAAAGCCGGCAGAATGCTCGCCTCAAAAATCGCTTATTCTGCTTGAAATTCTGCCGGCAGAATTTATCCAAGCCTAGCCTTAACACGCTGATAAAAGCGGCTAGTTTCACCGCATCTGACCTCTCCGCACTCTTGTTGCCTGTGTGAGTATCTCCCCCCGTCTCACCTATAATGACTCTGTTGGGAATTTTCCTGTTTCTCTTCAATATAAACTGGCACTGTGTCTCTGGCGACAATGGGTCTATTGAGGGCAACTGCTGATCAAAGTCGAACGGAAACCCATCTTCATCTGTCAGGGCTGCCTCCCTCATGTGATTCATTTTTATCGCAAAGGGAAACTCATGACCTGCATTGAGAAAAAGTAGTTTGTTGTTAGGTAATGTAATTTTTAAAATGTTTTGCAGTCAAATTTTACCTGTTATACATACAAAGTTAAACATGTTAAGTTTAAGATTATGATTCTATAGTGTATTATTATTAATTATTATTTCTGTCATGCGTTTTATACATGAGCCTCCGGCTAGGATACTCGGGGCAACCCTATCTATGGCACTAATAAACTGATTGATCGATTGATTGACTGTTTAAAAAAGTTTATGGTATTACTTTAGCAGAGATTCCAACCCTGCCGTTTTGGCCGGAAATCTCCCGTTCGCGCGTAATATTCTCCGAGTGTTTGAAACTCTTCCTAGTCAAAGAAATATAATGTGAATCAGTCTTTTTTGACGCGATTCTTTGCCGTTTTCTGTGGTTTCTCAGCCATTTTTACCCTTTTAGCATCCGAGCATGAGCCTGCTTTAATTTTGTGCGCGGTAATGCACTGATGTGATAATGAAGAATAGGCCTTTTAGCTTCCACTGTTAAAAACTCCACTCTTTGACTGCGATCTCAAAATGCAGGAAATGGCATCTTAGAGGCACATTTCTTACAATTGGTTGGAATCTCTGCGTTAGCTTGTTTAAAACGATTATAACTCAAGGCATTGAATCAAGGACTTACTTACATTACTTCAGTGTTTTATTACTCACCTATGAGAGGATAAGCACCGTCCTCCTTCCCTGAAAGAACCCAAAGCTGGTATTCGGAAACATCTTCAGTCTGAAAAGACAAGATACAGTCTAAACAAATTTTACCACGCCTGGCATGCTGTTCATGTTCTGTCAGGGGAACGAACTGTATATACAAACCTTAAATCCTCTGATGAGACCCATCTGTCAAATAAGCACCATCCCCTTTTGAGGGGAAGAGAGTTATTAAGCTCACCTCCCCTCCCCCATAAGCTTCATTCATTCATTCATTCATTCATTCATTCATCCTCTAGTGCATCGTTTCGCTTACAAGAGAGGTAGGGTAACCCTAGGGTGAGGGCGATCCTATCTGATTGCAAGTGTCATTCTGCTGGACGGCTATTTTTGGTCGCGTGAAGGTCGAGGATAACCCTCATGAAAGGCTAACGACTGGCGCGATAAACTGATTCCCTCTACATTTGGCAAATAACTAGCTTTGAGTGTACAAGACAAGATAGCCCTACCTTTTAACGCCTCTAGCTCCCTCCATCTATGCTAACATGACCTAAGAAAAACTCACCTGTGCGTGAAACTGCGCCAGAGACATCTTAACAACAGTAGAAGCATCGTCCATGTTGGACACAGTAAAAGACTTCGACTGGGAAGACAAAAAAGTTGGGAAAGAACAATCGAATCAAACTTGTGATCAGGTGGCCCTCACTACGACCTTCTAACGCCTTGTAATGTGTAGATTAATGATCCTAGGAGCAGGAATTACGGGGAGGGTAGTGGCAGGGTTAGATTAAGGATCCTAGCAGTAAGTATTACGGGGAAGGCAAGGGGCAGTCAATTGTCTCCAGTGAAGGAATTCTTTCGTAAGCATCTTTCACGTTTTAGCATGCGACACTTGCAGTGTTTGATTGCAAACGGTCAATGTTAGTTATCAACGGCGAAAAGGGTTTTCAGCGTGGTACTTACATAGCCAGATGAATCCGGTGAATCCATATCTCTGTTATAAACTTTTAAGTTAACAGATTTAGGGTCTTCTACGTCCTTTTGCTCTTTAATATGTCTAAAAGAGTGCAAGCAACAGAGGCATGTGGTGAATAGACGAGTGTGATACGCAATCTTTATTCATCAGCCGAACTCGGAAATACAAACTGAGTAGAAGTCTTAATATCACACCTTCATCCCTTACGTGGAAAAAGCATGCAGGGAAAAGCGGAACCTGTTATTAACACGTAGACCCCATTTACTTTGTTTTATGTACTGAATAAGGGTCTATTCTCGGTTTTCTGGCTGGGATGGGATTCGCCTTCCTTAGAGTGAATCCCAGGATTTGGTATATTCGAAAATCTCTAACATGCAGTCTTTCCGAATACGGAAGTCTAGGTATAGGTGTACCCGAATGTGAAGAAAATGCTGAAGCTGAGAAATAGCACACAAAGTCAGTAACTTAAAATTCGTGGATGCGGACCGATTTCCATCTTTTCATGTAAACGGTTTAATTATTTATTAAAAAGGAAATTGAACTTCCAAGTGTTAAAATGCAAACCGTTCAAGACATAAACGCCCCTGGACACTCCCTTGAAGCTCGTGCATTTAAGACTTACGTTATCGTTCAGTATTTCCTTTCTGGACTTGTTCCTGAATTGTCCACGATCAAAATAACAAAACAGCAAAATGCATATTTTGATCGAGGTATGTAAAGAGTGTACTCGAACCCAAATGAATTGCAGTTAATTAGGAGTGAAAGGGAAGAACATGACTGTCCTTAATTCGTTTAATCTAGTACTTACTTTGTTAATGCGCTGTGCCAAGCTTCTTTTTCTTCTGACGAACTGAAAAAAAAATTCATTTTTGTAAGCTTTGGCCTTTTACGGGGGCTGAAATGCGCTCAGGAGGGACGAAGACCAACTAGACTAAACTAAGAGTAGCGTAAAGCTTGTATTTTGTTTACAGAAGTAACTGATGAAACCCCAGCAGCCACACGGAAATGTAGCACCGGTTCATTTTTTAAACGAGTAGAAACAATTTACTAAATTCATAATGTTGAAGATGCTTAGTGATACTGTCGTCTGCATCTCTTGCTCGCTCAAAGTAAACGGCAAATACAGTCATGTTCCATGGCCGCATATTGAAAAAGAAATTTTTGTTAATGATTGTGTATTGTTAAATTGTTCTCCCTTTGACACAAGACGCAACTAGAAAGTCGCAGGAGCGGCAAAAGCTAGATAACCGCATTCCAGATAGAATTTTATAAAAGACGATGTTCTAAGCATGACTGCAGTAGTAACAATTTCATTTCAGAGACCTTTACATCCTAAGAGACGAGGAAGACTACAAGGAGGAGATTTTCTCAATACTAAGAAGTGCGCGCGCGCGAACCAGCGTCAATTTGGCGGGGAAACGTGACAGTCGTCGTCATTCTACTACGAAAATTAGCGAGAATGTCGTGGTGGTAGAAACAAGTTATCAAATGTTAAAAGTTTTATCAAGTCTTGAGGTCGGGAGAGGGCTTAACCTCCTCCACTAAAGATAACAGTGCTAAAAATAAAACATTCCAGGGTGTCTTTTTTTTTTAACAACACGCGAAAAAACTTTAAATCAAATCTCGTACTTGTAGTCACAGTCGTTCTCGTCCTTGAAACTAAAGGTCTCTTTTATTTTTCTTACTTGAACGTGGCCACGAAGTTCGTGGTAGGCCAGCCGACCACAAATGATCTATCCGATGGTTTAGTAGTTTCACAGACGTCATCAAGACAGCTTGCCAACCAGATCTCGCTGACTCTTACACGGTGTTTAAGCTTGAATGACGACGTAGATCTGAAAAGACAACAGCACTCAACTTCGCGAAGACAGAATTCATTGGAATCAGAAAAAGTAAGTTGGAGAGTTTTAAGACCACTTTTTTAAAGGACAACGGTGATAGGTCGACGGCTCTCCACCGAAAAAAAAGAATCCCCGATAAAACCCTACTGGTGATAACTGAAGGGGATGTTGGATGTCGATAACTATTACAGCTTTCCTGCACAAACGGTTCAACTATGCACCTAGAGATGAAAAGAATGGATGATCAGCCAGCCCAAGGAAGGTTTGCGGGTGAAAGACGTCTCTACGGGAATTCCCTGGACTTCAAGCACTCACCTGGACTTCGCGACCAACAAAATATCATCGAATAGAAATAAATGCCTGTCTTGAGAAGACATTCCCTTGAAAGAAGAAAGGAAACAACAGAATGAAGAAAACAAATAAAAATAAACAGCACCGCATAATTATGTATGGATGTTTGGAGAGAAAGGCCATATGCAAACTATATGGGAGCAAGCCTTCAAAGTCCAATAAACTGAATAATTAAAAAATGAAATATAAATATTTCCTTCGCTTCTTATATTTTATTCCGTGGGGCGGGAGTAACGTATTCACGAACAATGAAAGATATTGTATTTCGCTCTTTGAAGGGAAAAAGACAGAGAACAATAAAGAAAGTCTCCTTTGGAATTCGAAGGCTTCAAACCTTCTACAGTTCTCAGTAAGGAGAAGTACACTGCTGATCAAATGACCACTTACTGATGACAGTTGAACGGGCCCTTCTCTTACAAATTTCCTGGATGGGACGAGTTCTGGTGACAATGGAGATGTGGTCTCTGAGTGGGTCTTCATGCGCATGCTCCCTGCATCTATAGTAGAACTGAAAAAAGACATTTCCAGTTAATCTACGAGAAAATAAACTTGGCTCTTGTAAGCGACCATAAGCTTATTGATGGCGGTCGCTTAGCAACAAGGTTACATATTTAGTCAACATAATATCAAATAAGTTTTTTTCTTCCGGCATTCACAGTTAGCAAACCATTAGCGCCTACGTCGTGTATTACCCTAAATTGGATCAAGAATTGACTTTTATCCAAGGATTTACCTACCACAACTTACAAACGGTAATTCAGTAGAGTGGTCGTAAGGAAGCGTCAAGTGCAGTCTTCTTACTTTCCTTCTAGTTTTCAAAAAGTCTCGTCGATTAAGGTATGCAATCGGAGAAAAACTCGTGAACGACTTCTTTGTCTGAATTCAGTCTGAAATGTCCAGTACGTTGTATATTGTCTACAATTTGACTTTCGCAAATCGACACATTAGAAAACAAAAGTAGGGTAGTTGTTTCACAGAACCAAACGGGCAATGAATTATGCAAGGTTTGGTTCTTACCAATAATAGATCTCTTCAGTTTGAAACAACCTCGGCCAAATTAAAGGCAATATGTCTTCAGCAATGACCACAATTCTGTATAACACGAGGCGTATTAAAACTAAGCTTTTCCATATGTTAAATCTTGATGAACAATGTCTGCGTCTGCTTGTAATTTAGTGTGGGACGAGGCTCCACAGTTAGGGAAAAAGGCGATTTTTTAAAGCCGTTTCACTCTGTATTTTGCCATTTTTTCCCCACAGCGGAACCAGGTCCCAGACTGCTTGTAATTTGTCACTTGAAATGGTCCTCACGCGACTTCATCTGAAGTACACTTTGATTAGACATACTTAAAATATTAGCCGGTCGTTAACAAGTTATACAAGTTTCATCAAGTACAATTACGATTGAGTATCATTTGTTACAAGAGCAAAAAACCGCTGAGTGAAGGAATACTTCAATCTCGCTTGGTTAAACGAATTTAAACTACGTCATATTCAAGAGCTCAGTAATTTAGGACAAGACAAGTCTCCGAAACTTAACTGAATAAATACCAGGTCTCCGGCAAAAATAATGTTCAAAAGTTTTCAACAGGACGAAAAGATCCGTTTAAATATTCTCGATAATGATTTCACAGCCGCACTTGTCATCAAAGTCTTAACCTCGAGTAGATAGTAGCACGTTCTAGAGATACTGAAACGTGTCAAAAAACATGACGCCTTCGACAGGAAGTAAGGGTTTTACGAGTTTAGGATAGCCATTCAAAATGGCAGTGACCTACTGCGCGATTAGTATATAGTATGCAGTCAAGGAACATTCCGTCTATGACCAAGAGAAGAACTGAGTTGGGCCTGTACGCCGGTGTTTCTACAGCCAGGCTGACAGCTTCGCATTACCGTGATGTTGTTTTAAGCCAACCTTGCTTAACACAACTTTTTCCAGCCTTAATGAGGCCATACTTCTCAGTAATGATTTACATGCACTACAGTACAAGACAAGAT